TTTTTTTATTGTACTCTCAGGTACAATAAAAAAAATCACATTTGATTTTAATAATTAATTTTTTATATTATAAATTATTAACATAAAAAATTGTATTGCAGAATGTTTGTTAATTAAAATATAATCACTTAAACATAATAAATCAAAAATAAATATTTAATATTATCATCAGCAATTTACTGACATTTTAACCTCATAGTTTTGATACTTTTTACATATGAACAGCATTCCATAATTCTTGATACATAACAGAAAGATCTGGTTCACTGTAATAGTTTTAATACAGTGAACTAGTTGATCTTGTTTTTCAACTTGTGTTATTTATCATTTCTTTGAAATTCATGATATGTGTTACTCTTCTGTTTCAAATCCAGTTTATCATCATCCAGTATTCATATATTTCATTTTTGCCTATATTGGTTTGTCTTTCTCTAATCTACCAATTTTTGTGTAGCTGATGATTAGTTTATAAAGTATCTTTCATGTCATTCATCTTTATGCTTTGATTCATGAGTTTGATGATTTATTTGGTTTGTAGTTATCAGTTAGTTAGCCGAAATTAAATTGTAGGGGGAAAATGCAAAAATTAATCAAATAGAAATCACAATATTAACATATTGTCAATCCTATAACTCTATTTATCATACTTTTGCATCTGTCATATTATAGTAAGATCATCAAATTATAAGTAATTTATGGAAAGAATTTAATTCTGAAGATCAGTTTATATTGGATATAATGTGTTATTAATCTATTTACTTTAAAAACAATTATTTTATAAACTTTCTTTTATATGGCAAAAAATAAATCTTAAGATATTTTCATATCCTCTTTATAATTCTAATGTTTTTAAAGTGGGATTTGAAATAAAATCTTAAATAAATTTAAACTTTATTAATCTATAACAACATAAATTTATGTATATTTGTTTACAATAATTATTTTGATTGAAATGCTAAAATAAATGAACATATGCATTTTTATTCCGCAGTGCTACTTGCGCTCTTTTGAATACAAAATACATTTTCATATCAGTGCTACATTATTTACCAGTTAAAATGTCTTCAAGATTAAATTGAGTCCCAATCTTGATGTATTTCAATATCTACCTATAATTAGGGCACACAACTGAAATGACAATAAGATAAAAAGGTTTACTGCAGATAATGAAATTATGTCACAACTTGCTCTTTTGTAGTTGTGCTGGCAAATTTTCTACATCAGTTACATAAGATACATTCTGATTTTCAGAGACAATAAACTACAAAGTTTTAGAATGAAGGAAATTAGTTGATACTTCAATTTTGTTCAACTTTATTTCATAAATTTACAAGAAAAATTGATTTTTGTAAAATGTGGAATTGTGTGTTGTAAAATATTTTATTTTTTCAATATTAATAATAATTTTATTAATTTATCAATAATAATATGAAATTTTTTCAGAGTATCAAACAACCTGCTGAGCCTATTCCAGAACATCACATACAAACAAACAAAATGCAGCACGGCACTCAACCAGAACAACAAAGATTATCTCACGAACAGGTTTGTAACAATTCTGTTCAATTTATAAATATACAAATAAATCTTTTGAGATGACATTTTATAATAAATAGAGAATTACATCAATTTATAAAAAAAAAAGTTTTGAATTTTGTGTAACTAAATAGATTTAAAAAAATTTTGCCCAATAGCATTTCTGGATGTCAAAACATGGCTTATAAGTCAATATGCATTTGAATGCTAGTGATATGACCTATGCAAGACCATTCAAATTTTAGATAAAAGTTTAGATTTGCTATATTGTTGTAAAAGTGATAAAAATGCATTATGTTAGAATGGTTTGAATCTAATCATTTCTATCCATTCTGACTAATATATTTCAATAACGCTTCAATATCCTTGTAGTAGTAATGCTTAACTGATTGATAACATCACAATGTTATTGTCTTGGAAACTACCAACACTATACATGTGTTTGTTGTAAAATTATATATTTTTTCATTTAACTCATTTTTATGTTTACATAAATAAGAACCAAGGAAATAGTAGTGTATAACATTATATATAATATATATATATTAATATTATAACAGTATAACCAAGAAAATAGTAGTGTGTCTAACGTTTTAATATATAAATTTGGTCCTATTTTATTTAGAATAAAACACTGTTATTGATGGATATTCTATTGCTTAACAATAGTAAATTATTGTAATCAGATATTCAGTAGAAAAGTTATTTTTCTACTGAATATCTTAAAACTTATCAGATATTCAGTATTTTATGATAATTTTATAAAATAAATATTCACTGTTGACATATTGATAAATATTGGCATAATAATGTAGGAAGTTAAAAGTTTATGATGATTTTTTTTAGTAAAGTCTTTTTATTTCCAAGAAAAACATGGATGTTAACTTATTTTGAAATGACAAATGTTTAAAAATTATCATACAGTCAAACCTCTGGTTTGAATGCCTCGCTTTTTGAACAATTTGATTCCTAAACAAAATTTTTAAAATCATATTTGCCCTGGTTACTATATGTCGAGTAGCTTGTTCACTACTGAACAAGCTACTTGACAAGAGCAGACCACAGATGGTCAATTTCCTGTACTTTCTATGTTAAAAAAAGTTGACAGTACGACAGGACTACTGATTCAGAAGTTAGTGGTGACAAGATTGCCTCACGTCATTAGACGTCACGACACAAATAATTGATGAAAGTTGCTATTTAAATTAGATTTCAATCCATGTGTGCAAAAGATGCTATTTTCATTTTTCAGTACACACTGCAGTTAAATCTAAATCAAATTAATTGATAAAAATGGCATTAATTAACATTCATGTAATAAAAATGGCATCCAAGAATTCTTGTTTAAATATGCTTAAGTTAAATTAAATAAAAATGTATTAATATAATATATATATATATATATAAAACAGATATAGATAATATTATACTGTATTTGTAGGCATTTTTATGCATGAAATATAACTAAAAAGGTTTGTTTTGGGAATCAGGAACAGGTTAATCCATTTTATAATGTTTCTTATGGAAAAATTTGTTTCGGTTTAGAATAAATCCATTTTGGAACAACTTTTAAGAACAAATTAAGTTTAGAAACTGAGGTTTGACCATAAATATCTTAGCAGTTAATATAGTTTTATTTAAATGCATTTATAGTTGAAATTTCAAACCAAATTTTTTCTTTTTTACCAATTTAGTTTAAAGCTGCTTTACAAATGGTTGTAAGTCCAGGTGATCCACAAGAAAATCTTGAAAACTTTATAAAGATTGGTGAAGGTTCTACTGGAATTGTATGTATAGCTACAGAAAAGTCAACCGGTCAACACGTTGCTGTTAAGAAAATGGATTTGAGGAAACAGCAGCGTCGAGAATTATTGTTTAATGAGGTAATATTTTTATTTTCAGAAATTCATATTTTATTAAGATTTATGAAGTTATCAATAAGTTTAGCTTAGATAAAAGGAAATTTATTAGNTTTCTGAATTTATTTTCAGAAATTCATATTTTATTAAGATTTATGAAGTTATCAATAAGTTTAGCTTAGATAAAAGGAAATTTATTAGAATTATACAATTTGGTTCAAAATTTTGCAGATATGGATAAACAAATGCTGACTGGAAATGCTTTGTTTATTCATTTCTGCATAGTCTTAATTCACAGTTCACAAATCCTGTTTTGACAATTACAGTTGTCAATTTCATTTAAGGATTTCTATTAAAAAATAACAATTTAAAAGTCTTAATAAATACTTTGCCAATTATAATTATGCTGAAACCATTTTTTGCTTTGCAATTGCTGTAAATTCTGTGAAATTTTATTTCTAGAAATAAGAAATTTCATAATTATTGTGAAAGCATTATTTCTATTACTAATAACTCAGGAAAAGATCTCCTGTCTTTTATCAATATTTTCAGAGCTATTTGGCTATTATAAGAAATTATTTAATTCATATTTTTATAGTAGATACCAGAAAATATTGCAATTTTGTCTTTTCAGCAAATTAAATATCAAAATGAATTTGAACAATCAGATTTTCACATGTATTTGTGAAAGTTCTGTAATACAATTAATTTAAAAATATGTAGTAATCATTGTTATCCAAAATAATTTTAGTATACAAATTAGAATTTTGTTGAACAAAATAATGCTTCAGTTAATAAACTTTACGGGTTAGACTTTTTACAATATTGAATCTTTTGTAATTAATTTAGTTCTGTATGTTTATTAGAAGAGATGTGTAACAAAATTCTTGTTGCTTTTGCAGTCATTCAACTGAAAAATAAGTATCGTAAATCATAAAAGATATATTTGAGAATTGTAAAAGTCAAGTGGCAGAGAAAATAATTAATTTCAAAATAAATATTTTTAATGATGATTGTTAAATTCAAATCAATAAAATTTTATAGGAAACTCATTTTTTGTATCTATCGTATGTTACTTATATGATTACCATATATGAAATTAAGAAAAATTTGATTGATAAAAAATTATATTGATGTTAAATGTTTCTGTTAGGACTATTAATGAACCAGTGATGTATTGAGTGAAACATTTTAAGTTTCTTATTTTTTTTATTTATAAAAATTATTACAAGGATTATATATTTATTATATTCTGAATAACCGTATATTTAAGTATCAACTTCCCGAAACCCAATGTATTGATACTAAGCCAAATGATTGCAGTAATTAATTGGACTATTAACAAGCTATATTTAATAATTAGAAACTAAGTAATTTAGTACTAGAGATAGATGTTAGGTACACTCTCTTATCTAAATTAATAATTATAATAATTTATTAAATACATTGGCTGCGAGCAAAGGAATCACCCCCAGCCAGCGCTATAAGTAACTGAATGGTTATATCTAAATTTAAATATATTTAGAAGCAAAGGCTTGCTTGGGGTTTGGATGGCATAATTGGCAAGCACATTGCATGGTAAGCGAAGGTTGCAGGTTCAAGTCCCACTCCAGGCTTTATTATAATTATTAATTTAGATAAGAGATGGTGTCTAACATCTACCTCTAATACCAAATTACTTAGTTTCTAATTATTAAATATAGCATATTAATAGCCTGATTAATTCAGTCCCAAATTAACTACATAAGCCAAATGGGCTTATGTAGTTAATTTGGGACCAAATTACTAGCTTATTACATTTTCATTATCTGTTGCAGATCTTTCTTTTCATAAGTAATTTTCCAAACTTTTATTATAGACAATTTTAATGTTTATTTCATTTCTATTTTGATGTTTATCATTCACTTATTTGGTAAATATGTTTATTCTTATCATAAACTTTTATTCAAGTAACAGTAATCAATTTGATCTGTTACCCACTTCTTGGTTGCTTTTAAGTAAATATCATGACATGAGAAATTTTTTGATGTTTAAATTATGGTTTTACATTAAGTACAATAAAATGTTTCTTATAAATAATTATTTTTTATTGGGAAAAAAATGTGAATTTTATTGATAATATTTATATTGTTGATAAAATAAAGAATTGTTTACAATATAATTATATTTTTAAAGTGAACATATATATATATATATATTTCTGTGAATGTGTACGGTTAATTTGTGATATGAACTACTCAGTCTAAAATATGCTGTAATTAATGGTAAAGTGTTACTAAGAAAACTTATTTATTTATTTTGATTCTTAAACACTATGTAGTGTAATAAATTCAAACACTTGGCATTCTATTATCTTTAATTAGTTAAGTTGAACTTAATAAAGTTGATAGAACACCAAGTGTTTGAATTTATTACACTACATAGTGTTTAAGAATCAAAGATGAGTCACAACACAGTTTCAGATTATCAAAGTTATTTATTTCTGATAAAAATACTTTTTATATTTATAACATAATAATAGCATGTTTATAAATCTTATAGAAATTTGTTTTATATCATTAATTACAAATAAATAGTGAAAGAAATTCAACAACTTAAACTGCATATCTTTATTCAAATAATAACACTTTTAGAATACAAATGCATTTGTTGTTGTGAATAATTGCCCATATTGTAAGATTAAGTAATATTTATAATTATTTCTCTTAGAATTATTATTAAATATAGTTTAATATGCAATATTTTAAAATGTGATGAAATTGTATATATTTTCAGGTTGTCATCATGAGAGATTATCACCATCCAAATATAGTTGAAATGTATAACAGCTTTTTAGTTGGAGATGAATTATGGGTCGTCATGGAATTTTTGGAAGGTGGAGCATTAACGGATATTGTAACACATGCTAGGTAATATATCATTTTATTAATTATTTAAATATTTGATTAATCTTTTTTATTGATGTTAATACAGTCAAACCCCCTATAACGCGGTAGACATTCCACTTTATAAGAATTTCACGTTGTAGGAATCCTTAAATACATGAGCCAATCGCAGCCCGGCACTTGTGCAGTTTACGGACTATGGCTGTTTGAAAGGTTTTCTTCCATAAAATTAATCGATTCTAGACTAATTTGACTCAACATTTTCAAAACACACATAATTTTTTGGGAAAAATCCGTATAAACTATGCTATAAACAAAAAATTGTAGGATTACTTACCAAGTGTGCATTGTTCGACGACACCATTGCTTAAGCTTGTTTTTGTTGTGGAGCAGCACACCAAACGGCAGGCATGTTTTCTGATAAGTTATTTTTCTGTGAAAAATTCGTTGAACTTTGAAGACATCGTTAATAGAAATAATTTTTATGGCCATTGAATAAGAAATGTTTTTTTCACAAGAAATGTATAAAATTACAGTACTGTATTAGACTTACAGTACCTAATTTATATACTGTACAGACGATAGTAAACTCAACTTACCCGCCTAAACTATCCATAGCGTGTAAGTAGTTCAGCTGCTTGTCCACTATTGGTCCAGATTCGACCAATCCTGTTGTGACATGAGTCGGCAATGACGTTTTACCGCATTTTACGAGTCTCTTTTAGCGTCTTTATATAAATACGGTCACAATTTTTTCACTGTGATATACAAATCCGCATTATATGAATTCATGTTATAGGAGGGTCGACTGTATATATAAAATTAATGCCAATCTATATATATAGAATACATTGAGACAGAATCTATTTCCATTTTGTTAATGTATTTGCATAAGAATTACATGTACATTTTACATAATTTTATACATCATTTTGAAGTTTGTTTTTTAGATGAACCCTGTTGCCTCATTTTTTTATTTAATTTTATTTAAAGTAATTAGAAACAAAAATATGCCCAATTTCTCTGTTGCTGCTATATCACTCCTCTGTCATTTTGACTATTGAACTTCTTCCCCCAGTATACGAATACTTTTCAGTATAACTTCTTGATTTGACAATCACTCATTTATTCCCAAGTATTTTTTTAATTTTGCTATTAATGGAAAGACTACTATAAATTGAAGTTTGGTCACAGGAATTGATGTCATTTTTGAAGAAAATGGTGGCTAAGTGAAGAATTCTCATAGTTGACAACAAAGAAATGAAAAACTATATTTAAGTAAATGTTGTCAACTTAGATATTCATGTCTGCTTGCAAATTAACCATGAAAGTGTTTACATAGTTATTTGAACCTTTTCAAGGAATTGAAGGTCACATGAGAAGGGAATATATGGACAAGTGTGTTAATATTAATATTTGTTACCTTTGATTTTACCCCTGATTAACTCTATGTATGTATCTATCTATTTATTTCCAATTTGTTGAAGTACGAATGTATACTGAAAAAGTTTGCCTTATATTAATAAATTTGTTTGCTTTTGTATTTTACCTATTTACTTGTAACTTACTAACAGATTCTTACAACATTATTACAAAATATTTTGCTTGGTACAGCTAGTTTCTTAATAATAATTACTACTACAAAAGTTTAGAAATAACATTTTATCTAATATTTATAAATTCTTGAGAAACTAAGAATTTTTATTTTTTGTACTGCATTCTTCAGTTTTTTCTAAAAAGATGAAACATATCAGGCTTAATTTTAAGAAGTTATTTATTTTGTTGTTGAGTACTTCTGAGAGATTAATCAAAATACTGACTACATTAGGATTATTTTATAATATTGTGATATAAGTATTTTTATTTATTAATAGAAGTACAGGTACTTGCATTATATTAAGCTCATCTTTAAAAATATAATTAATGATAATTCATAAACACATTAATTAATTAATATTGAATTGTTGTTTTTTAAGCTGATTTTTCATTTAAAAACCATCAAGTGTAAAAATTTATGAGAAGTATCACAAGGAGTTTGGTAATGTGAACCTGCCATTCTGTGTCAGCAAGTCTGCTCTGTGTCTTCAAACTATTCATGCTATTTCTCACAAGTTTAATACAAAAGTACAAACTACAATAATAATTTTTTTTACATAAATTTTTAACATTTTTAATTACAAATAATCGTATCATATTTAAAGATTTTTTTGGATGTTGAAGAACACATTTCTCTATTTTTAGAATGGATGAAGATCAAATTGCTACTGTTTGTAAACAGTGTTTGAAAGCTTTGGCATTCCTTCATTCTCAAGGTGTTATACATAGAGATATAAAGAGTGATTCTATCCTTCTAGCAAATGATGGAAGAGTAAGTTAAATATGAAAACTATATTCAAGGATCAGCTAAATTTACAATTACTTGAAACTTATTACTTAAATGCTTGTTTACAGGTAAAATTATCAGATTTTGGTTTTTGTGCTCAAGTTTCTGCTGACTTACCAAAAAGAAAATCATTAGTTGGCACACCATACTGGATGGCACCTGAGGTCATATCTAGATTACCCTATGGACAAGAGGTAATATAGGTTTATCATTATTTAAAAGTTTTGAAAGGTTACAGTCAGCTTTGGTCGGCGTCTAAATTGAAGGATGTTTTCATTTTCTAATAGTATTGTATATTAGTAATTATTTTAATTTGAAATTGACTCTCATGATTTACCAAGATCTCCCTAAATGTGGTATCTAACATTGTTTGTTTACATTAAAATCTCAGTGATAACTAACATATAGCAGTATGTAAAGGTGCAGATAGGGATTTTAGGTTATCATTAAGGTCACCAAAATTATGCAAATTTAAAGTGCATATTATGCAGTGATACATATGAAAATATGTAAAATGTGTATTTTATGTAAAATTTACTTAGTTTTTAGTATTTTGAGAAATAATTTGATAAATTTATTATACAATAAAATTTCTATACTCCAGAAACTGGGCTATATTATAATGTAAAAAAACTCACTATCTTGATATTCACTTAGCTGATTTTTAGACAAATGAATGTTTTTGGTCTACTTCTAAAACCTTTCTTCGGGTGAAGCATTTTAAACAGATAGAACTTCTAATGTTTTGATGTTCTAATATGTGGAATGAGTTCACACTTGAATTCGAATCTAAAATCCTCTAGAATCGACCAATAGGGTACACCTAATTGTAAAATTTCTAAAACCGCTTTTCATAATGTATCAAACAGGGTCTGCCAGGCTTGTGAAATGCACCTTTTCTCCTCAAAGTTTATACATCGTCCCTGCTTCTCTTCTTTAAAAATTTCAAGCTTTTCATTATTTTGAACTGGTCCAAGTTTACTGCTGTTTTAATTAATGCAGCATGTTGTAAATTAGGTTTAATATTCTCCTCCTCCTGCATATATTAAGAAGGCAGTAGTTTGCTTCCCTTCTATCTATATTGGCTGTGTTCTGTGAAACACTTTCTGTGTGATCTCCAGGTTGAACCTATATAGATAATCTCTGTGGAATCTTTCATCTCTTAACAATATCTTATATATTTCTGGTGCTCTGCTTTAGTCTATCAGATTTTTATCATTTCTAAGCAGTTCAAACAGTTGGGGATTATGTCTAAGATAATCTTATACCAACAAACAAAGCAATTTCTTTAAATATATTATGCAGATAATCCTGCACTACAGGAATTTAATTCTCACTGTAAAGTTGGGACTTATGATGATCATTGCATGCATATTTGTATACACTCAGTTTCAATGCCAAATGGCATTGCATTTTGTTTTGATTAAATAAACAAATACATCGTTGTGGTCATTTATTTATTTCAGTATTATATGTTGCTGTAATGTTAGACATAGCAAGTTTTTCAATGCTTTAGATAACTTTTGTAAATAATTATTTTTTTATTAATTATTCTTTAAGTTACTTTTTTTATATATTTGCTTTTAGAGCTGTTAATTTATTTAAAACTTTTGTTAAGCTTACAGAATATTTTTTTGGAAATCAAAATAGCTAATTTAAATTAGATTTGATTAGCTGTTTATAATAAGTAATCTGATTTGTCTATTATTAAAATTTAATCATTAGTTGATGAAAAAAAGTTATTCTGTCATATATTGTTTTGATGGAAAATTTTAATAGTTTGAAATATTATATAAAAAGTCTCTAAAATTTTATTGTGAAAATGGCAATTGACAATTGACAGAAGGAATATTGAATCTTAATATAATTAAAATTCAGAATAAGATATGAAGAATATAAACATAACTTAAAATTGTAATCTTTCATCTAGGTTTTTGAAATATAAATAATAATAAAATGTGTGTTAAGTTATTTGAATTGAAATGTAGTAATAAATCATTTTTAAATGACTAGGTTGATATTTGGTCTCTTGGAATAATGGTCATTGAAATGATTGATGGAGAGCCTCCATTTTTTAATGAACCACCATTACAGGCAATGAGGAGAATAAGAGATATGCCTCCACCCAAACTTAAAAACACTCACAAGGTAAATATTTATTTATTTTATTTGATATGCTATCTTCAATAAAACCGAATTAAAAAAAATATATTCCTACTCAGAAGTTAAGATGGAGTACAAATATTAACATAAATGTAAGAGTTACCTTAAGAATTGGGGTAAAACGTGCTTATTGATAAAGTTCAATGATCTGTGAGAGTAAATAATAACAACTCATGTTAATATGTTGAATATGTTAAATAATAATGTTTCAAAATCTTTGAAGTAGAGAGAATTATAAGTATCCAGAAATGTCATGGTTAAGTATTAACAGGCAGAGGCAAAACATTCTAAGGTATATGGTGTCAATACATCATTCCATGTTTGATATGAGATTGTCATTGTATTCTTGGCATAATATTTGTAATATTATGCACATCCTTTTACAGACTACATTGCAAATTAGGACTGGCAATATGCCTGTTTTTTCATTGTCTGAAGGCCAATTTTAATTGGATATATCACATTCAATACAAGAAATGCCCTTCATTTTCAGGTAATGATCATGGGGTGGACTTATGATATGCATTATCATTTTTCTTTAAGAGGAATTGGAGCTACTGTTTCCTACAAGGAATACAATAGATAGCCTGAGGTTCCAAGATTTCATTTATAGATTCTTGAGAAAAAAACTTGTAGCCTATGCCCAGGGTATAATAGAAGGGTATTTCAGGATCAATCTGTATGCTTGGTATCACAACAAATTCTTTACAGAAAAATTTGAAAAGAAGTCACTAGCAAAAAGAACAATTCAATTGTTGGAGAAAAAGTTTGTGAAACAGGATCCTTCTTAAGTGCAATTTACATTGGATGTAAAGAGAATGAACAGAACAAATGAGGCGAGTGAAGTTAATTTCGTTCACACTACAAGCGGTGATAAGCCTGGTCACAAGCTGTGGTTTCACACTTTTACCAATAGATAACATTTTTTAAAAAATCAATATATATTGCAGTTGTCACATTAACATTCTTTTTATTTACTGTGTTGTGTACACTTACCAAAATTAAATTATATACTAGTATTATTTTCAATATGGATTTTTTTTCATTCTTGTATACCATTTCTTTTTCTGCTGTGAGTCAAGAACTCTAGTTAAGATGAAAATGTTGCTTTCATTGGCTTGTGCATGCCAATGTGCCCTAGCTGTCATGTACTCCTATTGGCTGACATGAAAATTTTTAACTCACTCTGAGGTTATGTACACTCATGTTTCTTTGTTAGTTCTCTTCACTTTGTTATGTTTTGTGTCCAGTGTAAATCATGCTTTACATAAGAAATGCATTAGATAGAGGTCTGTTTAAACAGCAGATATAATGATTTATATTTGATTGAGCATGACTAGTTCTTTCAAAAGTCATCTCCTTTAGTCTCTTTATACAGTATATTCAAGTTACTGATTGCACTATGTTTAGGCTGAACACCCTGGATCATGTTTGCAAATTTACTTATTACATTCATTGACAAAAAAATTATGCATGTTTACATAGAATTGTTCGATTACTGAAGAATTCATCATAAAGTTGTGTCTTACATAGATATGTAAATGGTTACAGTTGTAGTCCAAGTAATGATATCAAAATGCTTTAAAATTACTATCCCAGTTTCCTATAAAAAGGCTTTCAGAGACTCGCTGTTCATAATTTTTAGTGTAACTGTTGTTGTTAGGAGTCTTTGAATGCTAGGCAACCTGTACAATGCCAGCAAAGACATTATGCACATATTATTTCATTCATCAGTACAGTGTATATTTCTATTAATAGGACTTACTAACTGGTATTTAAGATTACTGCAAATCAGTCACACAGATTAAAATTGTTTTATTTACATTTACCTGATTAATAGAAATACACACTGTATGGTGAATGAAATAATAATTGAATAAATTAAAGACATTGAGGCATATTAATTTAACATTATGCACAGTTGACAGTTTCAGAAAGGTTGTGGAATGGCTGTTTTTCTGAATTTCCTGCTATCTTTTCTGAATCTGCCATCACTGACTTGTACAGTGTGGCAGGCCCTGGATGCACAGACAGACTACTGGGAGAAATGACTGCCTGATTATGAAACAAGCACAAACATTGCAATGTCATCTATCTGTTCTCCAGACATAGATGACATTGCAGACAGACTGGTAGAAGCCTCATTACAGAAACCTGTCTTTTCCTGTACATAGACAAGTGACTTAGCAGAGAATTTGCATACATGGTGATGGCTAAGTATCCTGTCATTAGCACCCTGTTATTGTGGCTTCATTTGCTGTGATGCCATGACAGAAGCTTGGACTGGTATAATATTGCTTTTTAGTATATAGGTTTGATATAGTAGATTTAGTGGCAAATCCTGATTGTGTTTGGGAATAGATGACCACAGTATTAGTCAATCAATGGTGAATAGAAAGATCAATGGTGAATATTTCAATTCCACTTTTATTGTTGAGAAATATGCTGCCCCCACTGTTGGCGTGCTGATTTGGGGAACCATTTAATACAGTCAGCTACCTTAATAGTGTACAAAGGATACTGATGGTAGAACAGGGCATTCAGTAAATTGTGCATCCTTATGTGTTTCTTTTAGTGGCAGAATTGCAAATAGCCATTTGACAACAAGATAATGCTTGGATACACACAGCTAGAATTTCCTGTAAGTTTGTTGCTATACTTATTGGTCTGCTGGATGTCTAGATTTGTTGCCCATTCAGCATTTGTGGTACCAGATGGGATGCTGTTTCAACCATTAAAGTAATACAGTTTATTGCATTATTTCTGTCTCTCTCTCTGTTTTTCCTGTTATTCTGTATATTCCAAGTTTTTTGTAATTGGATGTCATCATCCCATCCACTTTGAATTATTGGAACGCTAATGTACATGTTTTACTAAAAATGATTGTTGTTATTTATATCATTTTAAATATTAATCTTTATTACGTTTAATAATTCTCTTAATCTAAAACTTGTGTAGTTAGTTACTTAATGCTTGAGTAGTTTATATTTGAATGCTCTCTTTTTGCAATGCACCCCAGCTCATCTTGGCCAAACTCAACATTACGTTCATACTAATAGCTTCATTTAATTCCAATGCCTCCTCGTTGTGTAACTTTTTTGTGTGAATGTGTTTGAATCACCTGTTCCACTTTCTATTTAGTTAGGTCGTGTTTAATGAGATGTGCAAAGCACAAAAATTTCTCTGAAAACATTACAAACAATTATAGTGCAATTGAGGCACTTTTTTTTCTATCTTAATTTACTGAAGACTTGTTTCAAATACCAGTGCATGCATATTTATCCATTATCTATTAGGATTGGCTTATTAATTCCTTTTGGACCTTTCTTTCTCCATTGTGTACAGTGAGGCAAATCACTTCTCCTTTTCTTATGTGTACAATAATTTATGGACCTCCTGACATTAATGAAATGACTTGGAAAATATTTGCAGAATTTTTTTAATTGATAGTTTATTCATTTGACTAGTAAGTAGGCTTAAAAGAACAAAATTTGTATGCCACTAATACCACTAAAAAGTTCACATAGACAGTGTCTCGACCTCCTCCCTCACTATTCTGTAGATTGGTGTATTTTTTGTGTCCCCCTTCCCCATTAACTGTACATGTAATTAACAGACTGCTTCTTATGAACACAAATAGAGAGAGAGATATAGATAAATTTAAAAAACAAAGAAGAAGAAAGGTTAAAAGTTTTCTTTTAGACAAAACAAACAGACATTGTTTTTAGGGATTTTAAAGCACTTTAAACATTGATTTGTTTTGTTTATGTTGTTTATGATTTTTACAAAACTGGAAAATAACTACTTAAATAATGATTACATGCCACCAGCCTAGCAAATTCTGGAGGAACTGTGGGACCTGGATCTGCCCTCTCACTTGCTGGGAAAGCTTCATGAGAGATTGGTATAGCCTTTTCTGCTACCCTTCTAGCAAACATGGTTCACCAGTGAAAAACCTTCCAGGAAGCAGACTGATAAAGGTTTAGAATATGCCAGTAGTTTTCACCCTGAGTCCATGCCGGATATTAACAGTGTAGAATTGTGTATATTAATAGTGTAGTATATTAGTAGATACAATGGAATCTTGTTATAACAAAGTTTTGGTTTAACAAAAATAATCATCAAGCAAGTAAAATATCTTAAATATGAAGTCTACGTATAAATGAATGTTACTTATATTTTGGGTTCTTTTATGTATTTTATGTAAAGAAGTACAGTTCTGAATTTGTCAATTTAGTTTATGCCTTCAAACAATAATAAACTTCCTATGCTTTGGTTTTCTATATTGGATGGAACTGGCCAGAAGGAGCCAGGTGACATTTCCCTCCTCGATGCCACCTTACACTCATGCCTTAATTGAAGGTAAATAACAATAAGAGGTAAATGGTCATCCTTAAATCTGTCTTTGATAACTTATGTCTCTTGTTGAGCTTTGTATATCTGCAATTCTCAGTTGTTTCAGAGTGATTTAAAAAAAGTAGATTTGAAGTTGTAAAATTTAGAAAAGTTTTCAAAACTGATTTGTTTTGCTACATTATTATTGATGCTTCTTGCCCTGTCAATTAATTAATATTACAATCCTGCTATGTTACACATTCTGTCATGGTTATCATGGACACAATTTACTACCAGGAGTTTATTAACCAGAAATATACTCTTTTAAATTACATTAACACAATAATACAAGTCCAAAATGCATTTCGGATCCTATTTGTCCCCTCTTTGGTTAGACATCATTTCGTGATTTAACTTTAGGTATATTTCTCTTAAAGACTGGATCCAGGTTCATTATAACACTAATAATACAAAACTAAATTTCCTTGGGTAAAATGAAAAATAATTTAAAATTCTTTATCCAATTTGTTAACATCCTGTTAATTCTTATCATACAATTTCTTCACACCATACTTTCTACATTACATAAAAATATTCCATTAATAAATATTTCTTAATCAAAAATTTTGAACTACATTTACTTAAAAAATTATATTCTTATATAAAATTTAAATTCCAGTAACTTCCAGTATTGTCTTAGTTACATGAACCTTCCTAAAGTGGCCATCCTCTATCAACATTTAAGCCTGTATCTGTTTTTCTTCTTCCAATTTTATTATGTTCGAATGTTCATAACTCTCTTTATTATGTTTTTTTCATTTTTAACTACTAAAAAGTTCTCTAAGGCATATTAAATTGTGTGATGTGCCCTACGGAATGCTTAGACTGAACCCTAATACTAAACTAACAAAGTGGATAACAAAACAGACATCAATACGTTCGTTGTTATCCAAACTATACACATGCTAGATTTGTCTAATTTGTTTTACCTGTTTCCAGAAAAGAAAACACTTATTAAATAATAATTTCAGAAAAACACACGTTGTTAATTATTATTCATAGTGCTGTAGTGTTTGTAACCTACATAAGAAGATATGCCGGTATTCTATCAGAAAAACTTGACCTCAAATGTCCACATCGCCTAGTTTAAGAATTGGAGTGTATACGAGCTTACAGTTAATTATCGTAGTTTATATTGACTAGGGGACATCCTGGGTTTTAAAGCACAAAATGGCGGATTCGTATAATTAGCCAAGTTTTTTGCTCACTTTTTTTTTCATTTCCATCCAAAAGTCTTTTTGTATCGTGCATTTTTTTTCACTATTTTGTCTGTGGTTTTTGCCAGAGTTTGATGATTTTAATTCTCAATTTGGACCCATTTACTGGGTATAAAATAATTATATTTGACGTTACGTTTTGTCACATTTAATTCAGTAACTCGCCTGTTAGTTAACGAGTATCATAAATAATGTATAATTTGCGGTACTCGTTTAACATAAATGTTGAAACAGTTGTAAACACGGAAAAATATCGAATTTTCCGAAGTAGTTGCTCGTTTATTCGATAAACAAATCGATCGTCCTATTATCTCTATTTTTAAAAAAATGGTAACGTTAGACCTTTTTAATTTGAATTTTCGAATAAAATAAAAAGGAAACTTAAAAATACGAAAGGAAATCGAAACTTTTACAGCCTTCCGGAAAATTTTATCCAATGGCGGCCATAGTTTGTGCCAAGCTATACACGATATTCTTTAAATAATACTCCTCCGTTTGATATAAACTATACTAATACTGGATTCCTGAGTATGGATAAATTTCTGGATCCCTATGTTAACGAAGTCGAAAAGAATTTACAATTAATTTAAGGAACTAAACAATAGTCAATACAATGAAACTCTAAGAAAAACTATTGGTTAATATTGTTTTCTGGTGTTTTCCCGAAGAGAGGGATTTGTAGTTATTTTTTAATTTCGGATTGAACTGCCAATTAAATGAAGCATTTTATTTTTACTGCTTTCCTTCGTTTTGAAGTAATTAAATTGGCCGGCGCCTACGCGTTACTCGCCTGTTTATTACAAACGAAAACACAAATTGATAAATAATTTACTCGGCTAATCAATTGTCGCAGCTAACACTCGATTGGGAGCACGAAAACTACCAATTTTCCTCACCCCAAACAACTTTTTTTTTTTTAATTTATTGCGCTCGAACTCGTCCCCTAGAAAACGACACTCCGTCGATCCCGTTTAATCCCCCGTAGTACTTAAGTATTATGTGTTTATTAACGGAATTATTAATTAGCGTGTTTTAAAATTTACGCAGATATCTCCTCGACTTCAGAGTTTTCTGGAGAAAATGCTAGTTAGAGATCCTGGTCAGAGAGCCACAGCCTGCGAGTTGCTTCAACACCCGTTTTTGAGACAGGCGGGTTCTCCCAGTCTTCTGGTACCGCTCATGCGTAGTTTCCGAACCAGCCCCGACTGATGACGTGGAAGGAGCCATTCCTCCGGTGTGTGTGCGTGTGTTTGTGTGTAACACGACCGATTCGAAAGCCGTCCAAAAACAATCTAAATATTATATATATATACACAAAAGTAATCGACGAGTATCTTTTTATAAATATTGTGACGTCCTCTTCGTTTGTATTATAGTGATTTAATCGATTCGACCGTAACAAAGTAACGAGAAGGGCTTTTATTCATCTTTCTCGTAGATAACTCTATATATTTATGCAAATTATATATATATATATATAAATTTTTAACATTTTTTTAGAGATTTCGGTGTTTACACTCGAATTGATAATGTGTTAGATACTGTATTATATGGAGATGCGCATTTATCTGGAAGGTCCACTTTTCTACGCGGCACGCGATCTTTGTATGCACTATTTTCGTACGAAGCTTTTTAATTAACTGCGCGTGATACACGGTTCGTGAACTTGTTTTTTAGATCTGAAAGCAGCTTTTCCGTTGGTATACATATCACTCTGTAGATAGGACCCTTTCCTGTCCCTGTACAAAGTTCTATGGCGCGTTGGATGAGTACGTTTTAACCGGAATTTGTTCTGTTTTTTTTTTTAATTAGTATAATAAGACGGGGCCGGTTGGACGTAGGAGCGCAGTGTTTTCTTTTTATATATATATATTTTTAAAAAAATCGTGTATTTAAGAAATATTTTTGTAATTATCGCATTAAATATATATATATATATATACACATATATATAGTACATACACACTTCTAGGCGAAGCAATTTTATTGTGTATCATTTTGTACAATTTACTCACTTTTCGAATAAAATTGTTCGCAGGCAGCGAAATGCAATATAATGAATTTATACACAGGCCGAGGTTAACTTCCGTGTTGCATCTAGATTTTTTTTTATTATTTTTGTCCATTGTTTCCGATCGGGCACCGCCCAAAAATGTTGGGCTGCGTTAAAAGCGTTTAAGATATCAGCCGCCAATGTATTACACACAGAGAGGTGTGTGTAGTGTTGGAGTGGGCCTTTTTTGTTGACGTTGGGTGAGTTGCACCCGGGCTCGAACCGGACAACGGCGTAGTTTCTTCTCGTCTTGGTCCGAAATCGAAACACTCCACGGGCTTTTTGACGTCGCGTGCCGTTGGAAGGAATCCAAGATGGCCAGCCTTGGAGACGGGGCGTTGTTTACCCGTAACCTTTATTAGTTTGGTAAATCTTTTAAAGAGATGATTGTTTCTTCTGTTCGCAAGAATCAATGGAACAGGCGCGAAGATATTTTCGGTATTCTCACGCAGAATTTGTTTACTGCAGTTCCGAAACTTCTGTGATATCTCGACTGTTTTAGGAGAAATTCACGAGAGGGGGATTAGCACTGTCGATTATTCAGTTATTGTTATACGAAGCCCGTATAAAACTCCGCTACGTATGACGTAAAATTAATTCTTTTACGTGGAAACACGTCGGTGGTCTCTCATCGATTTCCATAAAAGCGTAACCGGGTTATTTAAATGGAAAAAAACGAAATGGGTGGTTCCCGTTAGCTCGCGCTCGACAACCGTCCAATCGGAAGCGATTTAACGTTTATCTCCGAAAGGGTGGGCGGTCACGGGCTTTTCTAGAAATCTCGGAAGTTCCGGATTGGGACTAGAATTCCATTGTGGTCGTGGATAGCGAGGTCAGGTCACGGCCGGCATTTTTTAATCGTGTAGAAACCATTCCAGAGTCGAACATTCCAGAAAATCGTTAGCCGAATTTCGAGTCGAGAGTAGGCAAATGGGGGCACCGATCCGTCGTCCAACCGCGCCACCCGAAAGGGCCGAGTTTAGCGACGCCCGGAACCCGTCAAAACTTTCTTTAAAACAGTAAATAGACGGACAGATAGACTAAAGATGGCGGGGGAAAGAAGAGAGTACTTAAACACTAAAATTGCGCGGCTGAGAAAGAGGTGGAAGAGGACGAATTGTCGTATGTATCCGAATAGGTGATTGGAAGAATAAATCTTTATAACAATCCTCCTTTGTGTTTTCTTGTGTTTGGCGTCGGGTGTGGAGAGGCGGCGAACGGGAGAGAGGCAATTAAAATCGGCGCCTGGCCAAAAATGCACGGAATGCAAACGGAGAGGAGCAGTTTTATTAACCCGACCGGAATATATCGAGCGGAGAGAATTCCTGGGAATTCCACCTTCCGGCTAATTCCTTCTGCCGCGGAATTTCTCGCCTCTCCCGCCTTTGGTCTCGCGCATCCCGATGGCCGGAAGTTAAAAGGTGATCCCGCGCCCACGTAAGTACGCTTTCTTTTTGTTGTTATTTCGACAAAGGGTGGGCGGGCGATCGGAGTGTTTTGCGTGGGCGGTGTGGGAAGCGACGCGTTAATGCGCGGTGGAGGATCGGACGCAACGCGCTCTTACCCTTTGGCCGACTTCCCCTTCCCCTCGACCGGAAGTTCCCCGCCGAGAGGCGAATTTGGCGCGGAAGACGCATCCGGGAAGAAAGAAGAATCTGGGGATCGATCGGCCAAAAGCCGGCGGCCGCCTCCGATCGAAGGGAGCCGGGCGAGATACTCTCGACGCGACGTTTGCGAGAAGAGAGGGCGCCTGCGCGAGAGTAAGAGGAAGAGGTCCATTCCGCCATAGGTTTGCGGTGGGTCCGCCATGGCGACCGTCGTTTTTTTGCTGGTCGGTAAGTCATACTCCGAAAACGGAGGATCGGCTCTCTCTCTCTCCTCCTCCCCCGTCTTTTCGCCCCACCCCCGGGGCGGACGGGCGGTGGGTTCGAATTCGGACCGGACGTCCGCATTCCGTAATTCGGGGACGGGCGCGTTATTCGCGGGGTTATTTGAGCCGGGAGGCTTTTCCGGGACTTCTTCCCGTACGCGGGATTCGGTCCCCCTTTCTTTCGGGCGCCGAGGATCTCCGTCGGAAGTTCGGGTCTACCGAGACGCTCCCGAAAATTTTCGTCGCCCGCGAGAGAAAAGTAAAAACCACCTCCTCTGCCTCCACCCCGGAGTGGGGAGGCGCCGATCGATCGGCGCTCCGCTCTTCCGCCGGGTGGCCTCTTTCCCACCAAGGTCGGATCGGGTTCCCCGCCGAATTTTTCGAGCGCGAGGGAACTTCCGCATCCGCCGCCAAAACGGGGGATTTCCGATTTGACGCCTTCCTCCCTTCCGGAAGGAGGTGGCTGATCCCCGTTTCTACCGTTCCAGGTCTGGAAATAACCGGAGCCGGAAACTCCCACCTGACCGATTTTCCGTTGAACTTAACGGAATCCAATTCGCCTCCCACCGTTCCGGTAAGTATTCCGGTTACGCGTCACGTGTTTCGGAACTTTGGTAACTAGCGTTTTTCTTCTGGCGGAAGACGACGATCGCCGTCACCGGAAGAGAGACGATTCCCGTCACTACTACGCCCGAGACGACTCGACCGGAAACGGAAACGACCACCCTCGCCGTCTCTTCCACCGGTAAGAATTCCTTCCTATTTTTTTTTCCTCTCTTTTTAAATTACGTCACCACTTACGGGAGTATCGAGAATGCCATCCGGCGGGTTGTCTGTCCGGAACGGTTTGCTCTTCTTATAATTAATGAGCCACTAATCGGAGGAGAACGGAGGAAGGGGGGCGAAAAAAGCGAGAGGGAAGATAATTTGTCAAAAGCCGATTAGTCGCATTCCGGAATTTTAATTAAAGGTCATTTCGATTTGTTTTTTCCGTTTCGGACAGACGAATTTTTCGCGTTACGCGCCGTACTTTAAAACGCAGTAGTAGCTAAAACACCGGGCGGGGACGAAACAATTTGCGCCAGACACGTAAACGGATTGACGGCAGATTTCCGTATAATTTTCCCTCGGAAATCGAAATTACGCGGAGAGAATTCGTAAAATAATGGCCTCTCCTATCGATTTATACGGGGATTTTTTAACAACACCTATGGCAGAAATCTTAAACTCTAATAAAATACCATAATGGATAGCGACTATCGGATAATTAATCGATGCGGTTTAAGGGAAACTCTCGCGATATCGATCGGGTTTTATATAATTAGATAAGGAGAAATTTCGGGGGGAATTAGCTGTTGTATCTTTGGATTCGAAGCACGCGCCGGCCCAAAAGTTAGTTAACGGGGATATAATTTAATACATTCTAAAACCGACTTAGTGGTTAATTGTTCCAAACCGATTCTAATCCCATTTAAAAATACATAAAAATCTTCGGAAAGGTGTGATTTTTTTTCTACGTTGAATCTCGCTATAAGCGGAACCCGTCTAAGACGGAAACGGAATATTGTAGACGAGTCTCGAGGTAGAGCCTGAGGGACTGTATTACGGGGTCATATACGTGTCCCGGTTAATATTATTCTAGGTTGGAATTAACCAGAGGCGGAATCGGATGAAGTGGTGGAGCTAATCCGCGAAAAGAATGAAAATAAAGCTGCCAATTTTCCCGATGCGGAGCAATTAGCAACTAACTAGTAACGAGTATTCGAAAACTAATTATCAACACGAGATTTAAGTAAATGATTGATTACGGTATTAAAATTCCCGGAGAAGCCAAATCACGGTATAACTCGATCTCTGTATTCCCCGAGACAAAAACAGAGGTTAACTAGTTTTTGGTACTCGCATTGACCAGTTCGCTGACGTGTGAGAACTTTCGCTATTCGAATACGTAAGTTTTAGAATCGAACAGTGCACAAATCAATATACGCCACCCCTTCGTACGTATACAGTCGACCCCCCCTATAACACTGTTGATAATTCCGTTTTATATGACTTCCATGTTGTACGAGTCACTTAGATTTTACAAATGCATGTGCTAGGCTGTGAGCGGCTCACGTATTCGTAAAATCTAAGTGACTCATACAACATGGAGTTCAAATAAAGCGAAACAATCAACAGTGTTATAGGGTGGTCTACTGTAATCCGAGGATTGAACAGAAAGGTATTTTACGTCTTTGAATATAAAAGATATAGTTGGGCTCGTAGTGCTGGTAATGTGAGAAATTTACTCGTTACGCGCGATAAACGAACTCCGTTCCTTTATGATTACGTAATAATTCAATCGTTGTTTGTTTGTATTTTGTAAGACTAAAATAATTGATTGTATTTATCTACAGAAGCCGTCACGTGGGAGCCGATGCGGGAGTACAGATTTCCAATGTGGGATAAGACGGGAAGATTATGTTTATTGGCCGAATTTCGTGCCACGTTTACCATTTTCTACAAAAACCGTTTGGGTGACCAGGTGAGTAACTATTATTATTCGGGCGCCGAAGAAGTTATCCCCTCTTTTTCTGTAAGTGCCGTCATCCATCCGAAATCGATAAAACGTTTATTCTATACCCTAATATTTCCTCGAAATAAGTTGTTTCAGTCGAAACATAAAACGAATATAACCAAAAATTCGTTCGGATCGGATAAAAATTGCGGGAGTTATAAGGAATTTACACCCGGCTTTTATATTAATAATATACGTGAAGGGATCCGTGTTTGATGCATTTATACGAGCGTGACAGACGATAAAATTGAGTATCTTATCTTTTTTATTGCAGAAAGTTGTGGTCCATCTTCCTAAAAATCCTCACGTGAAAGGCATATGTGCCAGTAATTCGCAGAATCCTATTTTGCAAATGTTTTGGTCGGAATTTTCTTATTCTCTTATTTTTTCTAAGGTACGTACAACGTATAATCGGTAAACAATAACTTAGAAATTCGGGTTTAACTGTTGAAATGTTTCCAGTTGCCACATAGAGATAAAGAGGATGGAGAATTCTGGGGAGTGAAGTCCATGGAACTTACCTACGACAGTGCCGGACCGCTTTTTGGCGATGCTTCGGATGGTAAGAAACATTTATTATTAAAGAAGGCGGTTAAGTACTTCGTTTCGTACTACATTAAGTGACTTTTAAGCTTATTTTTATCCTAAAATCCCTAAAAATTGCTTACAATAAGTTCGTATTTTGGGAGCATTTCTAAAGGGAAGGGAAAACGTTTATTAAAGAGAAGCGAGCGGCAGTCGAGTGACGAAAAATTAAGTTTTTAAATTTAATACGCGCTAATTATTAAAATATTTGTGGGTTTACATTCGCCCGTACGCTAATTAATTTATGTAAAAATTCCGGAGATTTTTAATAGTTTATCGGACTTAAAGAAATTAAATGCGAGTTTTAATTAAAATTTAAGCGTTGGAATCGAAAAGGCGAGGTGTTTAAACACTTTCAATCTCAGACTTTTTGCTTAAATAATTCTATTATTATGTTGGAAGTTAGCAATTGGAAAATAGGATCGTCACAGGCAATAAAGTATCGGTTATACGTCGTATAACAGTCGACCCCCCCTATAACACTGTTGATAATTCCGTTTTATATGAATTCCATGTTGTACGAGTCACTTAGATTTTACAAATACGTGTGCCGGGCTGTGAACGGCTCGCGTATTTGTCTTGTAGAACATGGAATTCATATAAAACGGAATTATCAAGTGTTATAGGGGGGTCGACTGTAGTAGAGACTTATCCTACGGCAATTGCCCGAGGCTCCCTAATTCAAATTAGTCTGGGCCCATTTTAGGGTGGTTTCTACACGAAATAAACCCTCTCGGATGACGTATGGCGCCGGTGGTGCATCTTTCGTCGCTCCTCTCGAGCTTCCTCCCATTCTGCGGCGAGTCGTTCCAATTATTTCATTCGATTGACAAAATTCTCGAAATATAAATCGACGGAGCTTTTCAATTCCCGTTTAGTTATTAAAGCGGCCCCCCGCCAAATTATTATTTTTGCGGAGAATAACTGGAATTTTTGGAAAATTAACTTAAAAATCGCTCGTTTAATTACTCTTATAAGCGGCCATTATTTTAATTCCGTTGGTTCTTCCATTCGAATTTGAAATTAGGAGAATGGAGTTAAAATTCATGATTAATTTCAACGGGCAAAATACGGGATTTTAAATGCAACGGCCTCTTAATTTAGAATTGTTTTTAATTGCTTTCATCTATATTTACGCATGGTTTAGTTTATTACGCGTTTAAATTAATAGTCACGCCGTGGGGAAGAGGAGGCGAATGTGAGGATGTTTCCTCCGCCCTGTTTATTAAATTGATTTAAATTAGTTGTAGAAATAGTAAATAACAATCTAACGCTTAAATAAGGCGCACGATTTTACGAATTAACAAGTAAAAGGGATAGAAGTGTCGGGCGATTTCTTAATATTTTCTTGGAGTAAATTTTAATAATTAACGAATGGAATTGCCGTAAAAATGTTGTTATTTTTATACAACGCTTAAATTTAATGAATTAATAATTCCCCGGACTTCCGGCGCATCCAATCGGAGGTTGGTTTTTATAATTGGATTTTATACCATTGTAGGAAATAACGAATGGAAGGAATTAAATAAATCGGAAAAAATATATTCGGCATCATTATTATATTTTATTTTTAAACAATTTTCTTCTTTCGTTTTACTTCGACCGAAACGTTTCTTATTTATTTGTTAATTTTAAATGGAAATTTTTAAAACACCCTCACCTGTTTGAAGCCACGATAAAAACTAATTCGTTAATAGAACTTTCTAAGAGGAGGATTACGATATAGATTATTTTGTTGCGCTCGTAAGTAATAATTCCCTTTGCCCCTACGATTATCGATCGCCTTTTTTTTATGAATTTCTTTCGACTCGTATTTTTGCGGAGAATTCGTGGTTTTTTTGTGTGTTTGTATGTTGGGGGCACGCTTTTGTTCATCCACTTCGAAGCTTGATAACTCCCGTGTTTTTCGTCGAAAATTTCTGAAAGTTTGACAGGATATTTGTGTATTAGGAGGATGGATGCTATTATATTTTGGTGGTTAAAGGTCGAGGGGGAGAGGTTATAGGAGGAGTCGTGTGTATCTCGAATGAGATCGGACTTAATGGCAAATTTTTACAAAACTCGGTTTCTGCCCTCGAAATTAAGCTACTTTTGCCAATTTATTTTAATTATATAATAATATTATTATTATCGAAATAGATGGCACTACACGCGTTTTAATGTTACCGGGAAAGTTAAGCAACTCCTTGCTGTATTTTTATTATTCTAAATTGAAAAAATTTTTTAAGGATATTTTGAATTCGAATTGGCTGAAAATTTTCTACTTATGAACGTTCGTAACTGTGTGGAAATCCACATTCGTATTCATCGTTATTTTAATTTATTTAAGTAAAATATGATCATTTTGTACTGTATAAATTAGCACTAATTGGTTGTCGGAAAACGTAGTTAAGTTTGGTAAGATGAGATTACAGACGGTACAGTAACAAAAGTATAAACACACCTTTTTTTTTAATTAGTTAAAAACTTTATTACTTAATTTTGTATAAATAACAATAAAGTTTTATGTAAGTGTAAAATAATTACATCGTTTATACAATTTTTTTAGATTTTAACTCTAACAAAATTATAAACACATTAAAAGATAACAATTAAAAATTGTTTTAATACTATTTTGAACTCCCAGCGTTTGATGAATATTCTATCTGGCATTGAGTTTACTCATTTTTTCTTCAATTAGTACCTCCCACCCTTCCGTAATTTACACTGTTAAACTGATTTGTTTTAGTGTCCATCTAGAAGTGGATCTACACTTCTAGATGACCAATCAATTACCTCAATCTTTTCTTTTTCAAACCATTGTTTTGTTGATTTTGAGGTATGTACTGTTGCAATTTCCAGTTACATTTGTGCCATTGGTGCAAATACTGTTATTAAGTTGTCATAGATCATCTTTTGATAAATTTCAGAGTTCATTTTACCACTAATAAAAACAAAGTAATGGTGTGGGCAAAACAGACAGAGCCTCCTCCCTGCCTGCTGTCTACTCATTTCCACTTTTCATTTTTTTAAGTCATGCCAGTAACTTGCCATCTGGTCCTACTAAATTCCATTTCCCCCCCATTTGTAAACACTATTTTTCTTTTGCCCATTGAAATCTCACAATGGCATCAAAATGTCCCAAGTCTATCTAATTGGTGCTGTTTGGTTTATTATTTAGAGTTCTTCAAACTAAAATTAACTGTAACCTTCCTAAAAATGAGACAGTCATGTACGATACTTTGGTTGGTACATCAGCTGCAGCTTCTCTTGATGACATGTTTTTGTTTGTTGTTAATTTAAATACTTGGCATCTATGTATGTATGTCAGTCACGCAATGCTTTTAGGCCTACTAGATCGTTTAATTTTTCCGTAATGTTCTTTCTGGTGTAAAACGTGGTGTAAAATGGCCAGACATACAGAAGATTCGTGAATTTCTTCTTCTGTTAGACTGCAACCATGAGGCAATCCTTTCAAATTGCCACTGTATTTGACTTCAAAACTATTATTGTCCTCTATTGTTAATAATAAGAAGAGCAATTTAAAAATGACTGTAACTAAATTATTAATCTACTAGTTTAAAAGTTTTTTTTAATTTTTATCATTTAAAAATATAAAAATCTGTAGCTATAGGTTTAATTTTGGTAAATTTTAAGTTTAATTTAACCTAAAATTATAAACATATCTGTTTTTAGACTTGTAATTTATTGCTAAACTTTCATTGGTATGTTTTTAGCATAAAAACTACTATTCTAAATGCAAACATATTTTTCTATATTTATACAAGCTATAATATGAAATTATTCACTTAATCCGGCGTGAGTGAGGTCGGGTATGTCATACCCGAGATTTTAAACACAGATTATTTAATGTTATTGTTGTCACAGTAACTGGGGGGTGGCAGTGTAGTGACTGTACTAAAAAACAGATTGAACAGCAATGTTTTGCTTTCTTAAGTGTGAGAAGCCAATATGTATGAAGCATGCGAATTTTATGTGCTGATTTGTAGTTGTAATGTTGGTGCTGTGCAAATTGATCTCATAAGACCTTTTTTTATTTTTATAATTGAAAGATACTATACAACTTCTTTGGTTAAAGTTTATACAAAATATGTTAAACTACCAAAACTTGTTCTTTTTCAAAGAGAATATTTTTATTGACATAACAAAGTATCTATAATGCTTTTCAATCTTAGTATTTTATTTACTCATCTTGTTATGTTTAAATGGATAATATTATTATTCCAAGTAAAAAAATACTTAATGCCAAATTTTTGATATCTCCTACCCACCTCAAAGCTGGTGTGAATGAGGTGAGAAATTAATTAAAAAATCAATACATACTAATTTTATATGCCTTAATTATCAATTAATACACTTACTTGGAGATATTGTATTTTATTAGAATCGATGATGATAAGCAATGTGCTATAAGATTATAGCTGTTTTTTAATGTGTGTTGTGTCCAATTTATGTAAAGCAGGGTCGGCCTTAAGCTGACCCCTGCTCGTACATAAATTAGGCTCTCTCTCCTCCTTATGTAACAATCGTTACATCTACAGATTTTAGAATTGGCAACATTATAAATATTTTAATAGTTTGGAATTATTAAAAACCAGAAATTAATTAGGTTCTGCTGAAGTTGAGCATTTCTGAAGGAATTGGTTTTAAAACAATGAGACATTTTGCATTTTAGCAAAAGGTGCCAAGTCCAGAAAAATTGAAATTAAAAACAGTTTTTAAAACAAAGATTCTTCACAAGCACCAAAAACATATGCCAGAAATAATATCGATGGTTAAGGAACTCTTACGAGAGAACTAAATTATTTAAAATTCTGCCTAAATTGTTACAGTAGGTTGCAATTTTGAAAGACACATCTTTGTGATTTCCTTGATGGTTAATAACCAAATTGAAGAATGAATATTTGCACTATATCTGTTAAAGATATAAATGAGATCTAAGATCGCTCTCTTGTGTGCATTCATTATCATGAAGGCCAGACAACAAATAAGTTGTATTAATTCTGAATAACTATATATATATGTATACAGTAAGACCCCACTTAATGATGATTTGATAAAATGCAATCTGCTTGAAGCCTAAGCTCAAAATTTATGCTGATTTAAATTATTGCAGCATTTCATTGATTCATATATAATACAATTATTTGTGAACACAAACCAATATAAAAATATGGCAAAAAGGTGTACTTTCTTTACATCTATGATCTATGTATGTTTGGCATCTGCGATGTTATATTTTTTCCAAAATTTTACCATAGAAAATATTGATTTCGCTTGGCAAGAATTAACCGATTACTTCCACACTTCGTTTGTGCATTTGATATGGCTAAAGGTATCCAAGAATTCTCAACGAGAAGAGCTTATCGCTGTATCGTTAGGTTGACCAAACTCAACCTAATTGATATAGCAGGACATTGAGGAGTTACAGCAGGTTTTTGGTGAGACCTTCAAGAACTTGCAGAACTGGAAAATAATGATTCTGAAAATAAAGAACCCAAAAAGTTTCTCTACAGATTTCCTTAGTAAAAGTTTGGTAATATAACCCAAAATCTGGATCATTTGCTACAATTTGATCGATGATTTCAAAGAAGTGCAAAAGCAAAACGAGGTGTTTTGGATGAGATCTTTTGCTATCGACATTTGCTTAAGGAAAGAAAAAAGCGACAAATGAAACTTTACAACTTTTTCAGAAATTCTTGTTCTTTTGCAATAGTCAAGACTTTTGTCACAAAAAATGAACTTTACACTTCTGTGTGCATATGTTTGTGTGTTATTTTTATATTAATTTGTATAATAATATGACATAAAATTAAAGTAAAATTGTTAATTTTGGTTGCGTGTTCACCTATCCCTATTTACTCTGTTAAAATGATCTCGCTTAGTGCTTTGTTGTCTATGAACACATCCCCCACATTAAGTGCAATCTTACTGTATCTTGATTGTAAAAAGTCACATCCAAACATTAAGAGTAAACTGTCCTGGTTATTTTTTTTTATCCTAAAACCCATTCGTTATTGTCTTTCTGCAAGTAATGTGAAAGAAAAGAAACATGCCACAATACCTTCCAACCATTCTGCTGTTTTGCAGCTTGAAAATACTCATTTGTAGACTTCAACCTCTACATTATTCTGGATGGAAATTTCAATTATTACTTCAACTTTCCAATCATTGAAAGAGGGCATCACATTTTTTCAGATGATTTTCTAATCTTGTGTTTTCCATCAGCAAACAAGTCTTCTTCAAAGAATCCATGCTAAATTGGATAAAAATATACACATATTTCACAAAAAAAAGAAAATAATTTATAAAGAAAAATATACTAAAACTTTTAAAATCTCAAAACTATTATGAATTGTTGCTGAAGTATTGATAGTTGTTTTTAAAGTTAAAGAATATAATTTATCAACAAAATTAAATTGTATATTAATGTTCTTGTTTCTTAATTTACAGCTGGAAAAAAGTCTGCCACGTTTCTGGAGGACGACATCTGGCTAAAAGTACCATTAAATAAATCCTATTACTGTAAATCTCCCGAACCCCTCTATCTGTACGATAGTAAAAAAGAAAAGACTGTGATGGTAGTTCTCGACGACGTTCAAATTCAGCCTTACGGCATCGTAAACGGACAGTTCTCGGAAGGTATTCTACAAACAATTATTTTGCTACAATTTATTATTCAAATAATTAAAAATTTTTACGTTGGTTTAAAATGCTATTTTTCCCACAGCTCATCAGTGCAGCGAGGCGACCGTAGAAAGCCGTTCTCAGATTGTGAATCGAGACGAAACGGTTCCGATGGCCGTGGGAAGCACTTTTGCCATTCTCACGCTCATCGGAGTCAGCGGATACGCCGCGTACCGAACGATGACGGCCCGGAGAGTGGACTACAGCACCATGGAGTGAAATGCGCGGCATCGCTTTGGTGGAGATCGAACCAAATTGCAACAACGAAAAGTTTTCTTAATTTGTAATCGTTTGTTAAAATATTCGATTTTCTTCATAAATTCAATACCATTTATAGGATTAGTGTCTGTCGGTGTTTGTGGATCTGCATTTCACGATCGCAGTTACGATTACTGTATCCATTTACTGATTCGATCTTATAAGTTTGTGGAATTAAGCATTACAGCCTTACAATTTGAATATTGTTGTTGTTGTTAGAAGTGTATAAAATTTTTTGACATCAAATTAATAAGGACAATGCGATAATTTAGCAACCAATGCATATTTTGAGAATACATCAAAAGAGAAATCTCAAAAATTAGAATTTCCATTCGTCTAAAGAATATTGACACACGTTCAGTATTAGGTGCAATCCACATTGGATATTTAGCATATTTATGCACAATATAGAGTTAATTTAACACACACAATTATTAGACCCGTTTCTAAAAAAGGAAGTTTCACATCATATCAGAACGATAGAAATCTTTTAAGCAATAGGTAAATAATTTCTCTCTGTTACCAATTCTGACGGTTTCCACGAATAGTTTCTCTTGTTTCAGAATGATAGATTTGATTAGAAATATTCAAAACAAAGATTAGATCTCTGACCTTATTAATCAGAGCAACTATTTATGCTTCTGCGAGAGAGAGCATAACAAAGTGCCGCAGCAGGCAGCCACCGTCGGTCTCCGCATCTCTGTAGTCGGACGACGGGAGGGACGTCGGAATTTTCGACCGGAGCGAGAGAGAGATTCCGGCACCTCTCATCACATAATGCAAATCCTCTATCACGCATGACAAAATTTAAAAAGTGATTATGCAAAATATTTCTTAATATATAATTTGATGTCAGTGCCTTTCAGCTGATTGAGTAGCAATAAGCTTCAGATCGAAACAGGTTAATTTATTAAACCGAAATGTATTCTGTAATATCATTTTTCTAACTAGAACCTGTTTTACATAAAAATAATAATAAAAAAATAACTAAGATTGCATATCTATCAAACACCAAAATGTTGCACTTATAAAATATTTTGCAGTCAATAAAAATCCAGGCACAAAATTACAAGGTGTGCCAATTAGAAAAATGCTGAAGTTTATTTCATAATATGGACTTTTCTTATAGACAATTAGAAAGATTCAAATGTTGCAAATAATAATCAAAAATTATTTTTTATAGTGACAATGTTTAGAACAAATCTTGTGATAAATTCTTCTCTAAATAGCAACCAACAAGCTATTTAGAGAAGAGTTAATTACAGCTTATGGATCATATATATTTCCATTTATTTAGGTTAAAATCTGGATTTTAACTGATAATACCCACTTAAGCTATATATTTTTCTCTTTAATTAATCTTATGATTTTACTACTAATTAGAATTAGTCAGCTAAATTTTAATATTAAATGAGTTTATCAAATAAGCCCATTTGGTAATAAAAACAGTTGTTATATTTATTGACAATACAAAAATATCACAACATATCCTGTATTTTGCACCAAAATAATAAAGTCGTGCTACTCCTTTATCTAAAAACGTTACGGATAATGGTATATTTCGTAAAAACTGTCTCATATTACGATCTGCCTTCTATTTACGATACATATCCTTAATTGAGTCGATCAGTTAGTGATCGCTAGAACGTGACTTTTTTTATTACGGTTGATTGTCTATCGGAGTGCCTACGTGTATACGTGTACTTGAGAAATTCGATCGTAGTGCTAATTAAGGAATCAGAATTTGATTTTTTTGAATTTTCCTAGTCTAAATATTAATAAATGAGTTTATTCCTTTATGGTTATGATTGTCGTCGAGGCTGTTTACAAATTAAAAATGGATAAATGTGTCTTACGGATCATGTGATTTTCAATTGTTTTACATGTATATCATTTTTCTGAAATTAAATGTATTTCTTGTAAAAATGGAATTTATATGCTTCTTGTGTTAATTACATTATCAGGCAACATGTTATATTTTTGTAGAAAGGTTAATGTAGGGGCTGTGTATTGTATTGTGTGTATGGTTTAAGGGAAGGGGCATTGGGAGTCGAGGCACGGCCTACGTAGACTCATCTAGCAGATCTTATAAGGGTACTTACTAACAATGTAAATAAACTGACTCAAAGTTCTGCAATATCAGGATCCATGAACTATTTTACTGGTAATTAAAGTGGTGGAGGTTTGCCAAAAGTACATTGTTGCACACAACAGGCGGGGGCAAAAAGTGGCTCAAAATCTATACACAAAATTAACAGAAGATCCCATATCGAGCAATCTTAATTGTATTTTAAATCCAACAAAAATAATGGGCTAAACAAAACCCAAAAATTACGTTCTTAGAACTGTTAGTATATCAAAACAAAATGGTTTTTTTTACAATTAAAAGTCTAAGAATTTCTTCATCAAAAAAATTGTTTCATTATTATTCAAATTACATAACAGACAGATTTTAAAAACACAATACATTGTCCTTGTTTAGTATTAATATTTACCACAAACTCCAAAACTATCCATAACCTTATAAGTTGTGCTTTTGAAATGAAACACTTTCATTTTGTTTCTTAAAATTACTAATTATAACTCTCTGCCTCAATTATGCTAATGTTGATGACATTTTTAGTAGTTTGTAATAATGCTACAGAAATAAGTTAATAAGAGTTTTCATTCTGCTACAAAACAGTTTTTCAAGAAAATAAACCATTACTTCATGGTAATTTTCAAACAAATATTTAAAGTCTCAAATAATGTCTCCAAAAAAAGTGTGCATGCCTGAATTTATATCAGAAAATCTCAGCTAGGTTATATTTAGCATTACCTATTATATTATAATGTGTACCTGTGGAATTTTTAAAATATTTCATTTTCACATCAAATGACAAAGTGGTCAAACACCTCCCTCCACTTATCCCTTGATTTACACAGTAGATTGGTTGTGTCAAGGTTAATTGGGTATTTCATATTAATCATATATAGAACTTAATAATGCAATTTCAAAGTATACAAGAACTGTGGGCACATTTTATATATAATTTTAACAAATATAAACATTTTTTAAATTAATTTTTCACTCAAGAAAATTAATTATCAATATCAAAACTCCATTTCTGTTGTTTAAGATAATCTAAAACGCCTTGTAACAAATTGTAATGATTAAGGGATTGGATTTATAAGCAGGCCGGCCCGGTGCTTTTACGGTAGCTTTAAATTACTACATTTCCTTGCCAAATAGCTGGTTAAGCTTCAGATCCTACAAGTTTATAAGGAACTTTTGCTATTCAAGTCCCCCTGTAAGCTTATGAAATTTGGCCAAAACGTCCTCCATTACAATTTTTTTTAAACTGGTAAGCCTAAATATACAGTATATAACCAACAAGCAATATGCCACCAGCTAAATAATCGATACAATTTTTTTTAAATCCATCAATGAGTTGTGTAACTTTCCCGGCCAAAAATTAAAATTGTGGTGGTGGCGTCATCTGTTATGATATTATAAAATAACAAAAGGCTTAATTTTGAGGGTAGGGACGGGTTTTATAAAACATTGTAAATACTAATAACGAATAAAACCTTCAAATCCGACCCTACTCGAGATATGACACTGTCTATTTCCTCACTCCCTCGACCTTTAACCGCCAAAATTTAATATCATCGATCCCCTAATACACAAAATTTCGGGAGTTATTAAGCTTGAAAGTACACTTAACAATTACATCTTGATCAATGAAGGGATTTTTTTTTCAAATTTTATTGGAAAACAAAAATATCGCTAACCAAATTATCTCGTGTATCGAGAATGATAAATAAATAAAACCGAGGAACCGAACTGTTGTTATTTGTTCGGTATACATTAGAAAAAAAAGAATGTATTTAAAAAATACGCACCTATGCTCCTGCATCACCTATAACCAACCAATAAAAGCTTGCTAAAATTAGACGTATAAATAGGCTGGAATTCGGTGAACACACTAACACGGTTATTAATAATTTCAAGCAAAAACAGTACATGAAAAATGCAAAACATTGCCGAAGAACGTTCAGAATCCTCCGTATAACATTTTTATTAACATACTGTATATAATAATATTTAAATAATAATAATACGATATTTAATCTGGCCTTCTATCCCCAAGCTTCCTTATCTGATCTCGACTTTCATATAGAGGAGGTGGTATTACGGAACCCCCGTTTTCATTATAGTGAATTGTAAAGAAGTTATCATAACTACACCCACATTTTTTTGTGCGAAAAGTACTGGTAACTACTGAACTAAACGTTCTTAATTGGATTTTCGCTAGTGTAACTATAAGTCCGAAAGTAATCTTAGAGAAAATCGGGTGGTAATACGGAACCTTACCGTATATTTTCAAAAAATGCTTTAATGTAGCCAAAAACAAATAGGAAAAGACAAAAAATGTTAAATAATTACAAAATTATTTACTCCGATGTATTTTATCGCAAAAATACTTTTATAATATAAAAACATGACCTCCGTCAACAATATATATTCCAGTAGCTNGCCAAAAACAAATAGGAAAAGACAAAAAATGTTAAATAATTACAAAATTATTTACTCCGATGTATTTTATCGCAAAAATACTTTTATAATATAAAAACATGACCTCCGTCAACAATATATATTCCAGTAGCTCTTTTTCGATATTCTCAGGAAGAACTGACTAAGACACTAATGACTTTTTCACAAATTGCTCCGGACGAATGTCCGCTCGCAAAGAGAGACATCGGAGAAGTCGAGTTCCATATTACTGTAAAAGCACCGATGGGGTCCGTATTTCACGCATCTCCATCTCGAATTAACTTACGTCTGTCGAGACCAAATTTTAAAAAACGTGAACATCACACAGTATGTACCCCCCAAGTCTCTGGAACGGAATACATGCACCAGTGAACCTACAACTACACGATTTATATTTTAAAAATAATTAAATTCGCTTAGCATTCAAAACTTGCGAATTTTGAAAAAAACAAATTTGCTGATTAAATGCGGACTACCGTTTAACCGAAGTAAAACGGGTTTTCCCCTGGCTACCGATGTCTGCCTAGTTCGGTTCCGCCACAATCCTCTACAGTTCGCTTTTATTATTACAGTGTTCGAAATGGGGTGGTTCCGTAATACCACCTTTTCCTCTATCTAATACCGTTCTCGAAATTAATGAAAGGCAATGAGAATTTATAGGTCTACAATTTTTTCCAATTGCGGCCGAAAAACACGAAAGCCGGACGATATCGGGCTTTATTACTACTACTACAGTATTATTAATTAAATTGGCGTGGAAAACGTCGGCCGCAACCTGGCTATTGAGGAGTTATCGCAGGTTTCTGGCCAGAGCCACTTTCAAGAACCGGCAGAACAAGGAATTCGTGCGCAACTGAAAAATAGTGATTCCGAAAACGAAGAACCCAAAGAATTTCTTCACAGATTTCCTTAATAAAAGCTTGGTAGAATAACAGAAATCAAGTTGTAGCGAATGATCCAATTTCGAAAGAAGTGCAAAAGCGAAACGAGGAGTTTTGAATCCCATCTCCCACTACCGACATTTGCTTAAAGAATAAAAAAAAGGGCAAATGACACCAGACGACTTCGCGGCAAAAAAATCAAAACTTTCAGAAAAGCCAGGATCTTTCTCACAAAAAATGAACTTTACATGTCTGTGTGCATGTTTGCGTGTTATTTAACATATATTATTATGCAAATTAATATAAAATAACTTAAAGTAAAATCTGTTTACGTTTGGTCGCGTGTTAGCCTTTCCCTATTTACTGTGTGTTAAAATGATCTGGTTTAACGCTGTTTTGTATAGCGCTTCGTCCTCTAGGAACGTATCCCCCTCGTTAAGCGGAGTCTTACTGCGCGAGTACTTCCATAAAAGGAGAAAAAATAAAACAAAATTAATAAATAAGCAGCCACACAATGGTCCCTTAATTGTGCTTGAACAATACGGTTAACACAGATGGTACAAAGAATTAGCAAAAAAAATTATGCAATTTATACATTATCTTCGATATATTTTTATCATAGAGGAGAAGGTGGTATTATGGAACCCCCCATTACATTTTAGTGAGTTGTAAACAAGGTATCATTAGAGCCCTCTGTAAACAGAGTATGGTCAACTGGGGGTCAAAATATGATTGAATACTGCCGATCACGTGGTTTATGGACGCCATTATGAGGCCAGCTTCCCATCCGCTTTATGACAAGCGAATGTCAATCAGCTATTTAATACAATAAATAACAGAATTGGAAACTTTATATACCAGGTAATTTCGATCTAAAATAGATTGTAAACATCGAGTTAGTTTTTACTTCGCTATACTGAGGTTAGAAATCATTATTTTAGTCTTTAGATCTGCCGATACATCTAAAGCTACCACATAAAAATAAATCAAGCCGGGTTGTTCAGCCGTTAATTGCTCGAATACAGCTCCTAAATTCAAACTGCATCGATTTCCTAGCGATGAAGCTAGAAAAAAAAACATGGGCGATGAAAGTAAACAGGCTGGATGAAAATGAGAAATTATGGATTCCTGGAAAACACGCAGTACTTTGTGAGGTAAGAATCAGAATTTTTATGAGAAAGGACTTCTGCTTTGACTACCTATTTAATTGTACATTGCACATTAATAAACTAAGGCTAAAGTGTATTAAGTCTGTTACATTTTAGCCTTTATAAGTTTATTGGTTTAGTGAGATGTGAATATTTACAATTAACTCTCATAGGCTCATTTTGAGAAAGATCAGTATGAGAATCACAGGAAGGATGGAAGAAGATTGCCGAAGCGGGATGCCGTGCCTACACTTTTTTCTCGCAGACCCGCACCTAAGAGAAGATGCTCTGGACCAAAAACAGGGCATAGAAACAATTGTGAGCGTATAGATCCGACCTTGGACCACAGTTATGCTACAAATTTATTTCCTATGACATATATGCAGCCCACTAAGGTATATTTATAATATAAATTTAAAATATCCTTATTAAATATTCTATTTTTTCTTATTGCATACTTTGTTTCTTTTTGAAGAAAATGGTGATGACTGTAAAAGCACGAATGGAGACGAAGATAATGAGACATCTGGTCCAGTATTTCGGGACTCCGGTAATCTCGTTAGCCAGCCACTGTCACCAAAATCAAAACAGATTAATGAACTGAAATCTCAATCGCATAATGCGTTACATAGAGTTAAAAGAGTGCAGAAAAGTAAGGAGGATCTCTACGAAGAGATAAGAAAATTAAAAGTCTAGAGTCAACACACAGAGTACAAACATAAAATTAATTTTCAATCCCGATCAAATGAAAACCCTTGGTAACGTGTCAACACGAGGAATAAAATGGCAAAATAATACGATAAGAAAGGCTCTGCAGTTAAAATCTGCTTGTGGAAGATCAGGCTATGAATAAACAATATTTAGTGATTATGGGTGACTTTTGTTGCACACTTGGTTTACTCGCAGGAAACACGAGTGTCGATTACTTTCGTTTAATTTATATTACTAAAGACTTGTTTGAAATTTTATCTAAATACTCTTTGAAGAAATACTAAATATTAATCCATCTTCATAACCGTATACGACTAAATCAATTAATTTCAACGTGAAAAGATAGAATATTTATTAAGATGTAATTGAGCTATCTTCATCGAAAACAGATACTGTATTAATTTTCGAATACTCGATGCACCCGGTGTAATTGCGAGTCTGTCGATTTTTCACCTATTACAGAACCGTCGAGATTTAGCAAGTTTGTGTGATTCACTCGATATTAAACGGATATTCCATTGCGGTTCTCTCCTTGAATTTAGAATGAACATAAATAATGTCAATAAAAAAGACTTATATAAACTATATAACTATTTCATCGAGATTACAGAAATGTTAACATTTTCTGCATTGTCATCTTTGACGTTACTCATTGTGTATATTTGAAATCAATTGTCAAATAAGAGTATAAGTCCACTAAATGTGATCCACTAAATATAATTTTTTAAATATTTTCACTTTTTTGCTTCTAGCCCTGTTATTGTTATACATTTTATCCATCGCTTATAAACTACAATTATTCTCAACATAATTAAAAATTATTTCTAAAAATGTTTAACTTAATATAATTTCTTTCCGAATCTGATTTTGCTCGTTTAAATGCTAAACAGTGCTACCACACTGCAACTTTGGCCTCAAGATGGCATCCACGCGTTAGAGTGGCCTTGGAGTGGCCATATTCTGTTTATATAGGGCTCTAGGTATCGTAACTACACCCACATTTGTGGTGCGAGAAGTACCGGTAACTATTAAACTTAATTGGATTTTTCGCTAGCGTAACTATAAGTACGGTTTTTGAAGGCTTCCGTACAAAAACTCAGAAAGTAGGCATAGAGAAAATCAAGCGATAATACGGAACCTTACTGTGTATTTTCAAAAAATGCTTTAATGTAGCCAAAAACAAATAGGAAAGTACAAAAAATGTTAAATAATTACGAAATTATTTACTCCAATGTATTTTATCGAAAAAAAAAAATGCTTTTCTAATAGAAAAATACGACCTCCGTCGACAATATATATTCCATCAGCTCTTCTTCGATATTCTCGGGAAGAATTGACTTTCTACCTAGTGTCTTTTTCACAAATTGCTCCGGACGAATGTCCGCTGGCAAAGAGAGAGCTGGGTTACCAGAGTAGTTTGGTTCCATATTAAAAGCACCAATGGAATCGTCATCTCGAATTAACTTACGTCTGTCGAGACCAAATTTTAAAAAACGTGAACATCGCGCGTATTAATACGTACCCCTAAGTCTCTGGAACGGAATACGCGCACCGGCGAACCTACAACTACGCGATTTATATTTTAAAAATAATTAAATTCGCTTAGCATTCAAAACTTGCGAATTTTGAAAAAACACAAATTTGCCGATTAAATACGAACAACCGTTTAACCGAACTAAAACGGGTTTTCCCCTGGCTACGGATGTCTGCCTAGTTCGGTTCGGCCACAATACGCTACAGTTCGCCTTTATTATCGGTTCGAAATGGGGTGGTTCCGTAATACCACCTTTTCCTCTACATATAATTATTCAAAAATTCGTCAGAGAGAATTCTTCTCTTTAACAAATATAAAACTGAACACGATGCGAACGTACGTGTTAATATACAATCGTGATCGTAGTACAATACGGGCAAGAATTCCCCTTGAAAATACAGTAGAGCCTCGATTATCCGACCCCCGATTAACCGACCGTCCTAGTCGGCAAATTTCAAATGATGTGGCGCTACAATATTTGGCTATGTCTTGGCTACTTTAATATTATTTTTACGTGTTTTAGCTGGCAACACTGGATCGACCATGAAAGGGAGCCAGTATTTAAACGAGGCTTAATTTTCTAATTTTTAACGATACAATAGCGACGATTATTATTTTAAAAAATTTTTGTTAGGCTTAACATCGATGAAAATTCAACGCAAAGTAGGTTAATAGCGATATACTAATATACTAATTACATGGGATATAATAATATACTACACTAATAATGGATTTTTTCATACTTTTCGGTTATCCGACTTTTCAATTATCCGACCAACCGCAGTCCCCAATTAGGTCGGATAATCGAGGCTCTAGTGTATCTATATACTGACCACTCAACGTAATCCCGATTGCCTTAGTTTCTGACATTTCAAATACTCTCGTTGTTGGGTAAATCTTATTTATTTTCGATTTAACTAGAAAAGTAAGCCGAATCTCCGTCAGACCCAAAACTGCAGAAGCGGCAATTTTTATTTTCAGCTTGCCTGATTATCCGTAATAATCGGGCTTTTCTTTAGTCTTTCAACCAATAAGTGTCGTTAGAATATAAACACGCGATAGGCGATTTGGCTTTCAGATTCCTGCTTAAACCTAAAAAATTTCCCCCAGTTTAGTTTCGATCTTTTATCGCATTCGTTATGTAAATTAACGAGCCAAATCGATTCTAGCGGATACCTGGCTTAAAGCGTTAAGGACTGTATCAAACCTTTCGTCTAAATATAAAAGTATTTCGTTAGGAATGGACTTACTTTATTCACATTTAGCGGGGAAAAATCGTCCAATTTCGCAATTTTCAACGTGGGTTGGCTAGGAGAACCACGTCTGTCGCTCTTAACACTAGGAAACTGAACCGTTGAACCGGGATTTTCCTTTATTCCGCCGAGAATCGACGGAAATATCGACATTTTAACTTTCCAAAAAGTCACTAACAAACTTCGCCAACACGCTTCCCCTCCCCCAATTTAATTATACTTATTAAATTTAGCGAGAGATGGCGCCCGACGCCTGCTTCCGGTAAAAGTTATTAATAAATTTAATTTTAAAAATGTTATTAGTTAAATGGTAACCATTTCGTTTATATTAAAATTTTGTAATTATTTATTTGTAAGGGCCTATATTAATAAATGTTTCTCGGATTATAAAGAATATCCAGTAAGAAGCGAGGTGTACAAACACCATACCGCCATGCGTGGTGGCAGTCGCCATATTGGGGCTCTTTCGGTGTGTACGGTGTTTCTAGAGACAAGCTGATTGTTTGTTTCTTTCCATCTCAATTAGTTGGATTTCTTCTTAAATATATATTTAAAATGCCAGTCCCGAGTCTGGAAAAAGGAGGAGAGTCGGATAGATGAATGTTCATTCGCCAACCATAAAACAACAGCACGAATGGAATCTAATGTCGATACAAGCAAAAGGTAGAAGATGCCGGCCGGGACGTCGCTGGATAAACGAGGTCCGCGACACCAACCGAGCAATCGGGGTTGGGTCGAAAAGTTGGCTACAAAAAGAAAACTTCATCCGGCAACACGGGTCCTCTTAGTTGGAACTTGGAATGTCAGAACGTTACGGTTGCCTGAGAAAACTAGAGTTTCTTCGGAAGGAAATGGAAAGATATCAATGCGACATATTATCAGAGATGCGTTGGACAGCACTGAATGGTAGTGAAATCATCTGGTTGCGAAATGACACGAGGCATGATGCTGACTTTGTATTTCTGCTTAGCAAAAGAGCGCGAGCAGCATTGTTATGTTACAATCCAGTTAGTGCGAGATTAACGACGGCAAGGTTTGAAGCAAAGCCACTCAATAGCAGCGTAGGTGAGATTGAACTCTTCTATAAAGATCTAAGCATGATAGTAGAGAAAACACCGCGGAGAGATGTGATCATCATTGGAGATGACTGGAATGCTAAGGTTGAAAATAATAATGGCGGTTGGGAAAGAGTAATGGGCAAGTATGGATATGGAGGAAGGAGTGAACCAGGGGAAAGACTGCTTGAATTTGCCGTAGATCAAAATTTAATAATATGCAATAACAAATTCCAGCAAACAAACAATAGAAAATGGACGCGGAGATCAAGTGATGGAACAACAAGAAACATAATTGATATGATTTTGATGCAAAGGAGATGGTCAACATTAGTTCGACAGTGTCAAACCTTTCAGGGAGCGGACACGGATTCTGATCGCAGCTTAGTCATTACGAGCATAAAGATAAAACTGAAGAGGAAAGTTAATGCAAATTTCCAAAAGAAAAATGACATTTCAAAGCTAAACGATGAGAAAATAGCGAGCATACATAGAAATACACTGGAGAAGGAGATAAAAAGCCTAGACAGGATGGAACAGCTAGACACAAGAGTGGAAGAAATGACAAAGGCAATAACAAAAGCAATTGATGACAAAGCTGACCCTACCAGACAAAACAAAAGCTGACCCTACCAGAAGATGAAAACGTCGACAAGAAACGGATCACACAAGAGATCCTAAAGCTTGTCCAAGAGAAAAGAGCTCTTAGAAGAGACATTTCTGAAGAGCTGGAAAAACATTATAAGGTAAAGTGCGATGAAGCGAAAAAAGCAGTTAGAATGGATAAAACGAAATGGCTAGAGGATCAGTGTAGAAACATAGAAAAATATTATGGAGAATGCGAGACTAGAAAAGTATGTAAGATGATCAGAAATGTCAACAAGAAATGGAAACCAAAGCAAATGGCAATCAAAGATAAGAAGGGAGAGGTTTTAGTGGACAGGGTGAAAGTCCTACAGATGTGGACAAGTTATTGCTATGAACTATATAAAGAAACGTTAGATACAGATGTATTAGATAATCCAGTAGATGAATTAAGGAAGATATCGCCACCAAGTGTCGAAAATGATATTACGAGGGAGGAAGTTGAAAGGGCAGTGAAACGGTTAAAAGACAATAAGAGTCCCGGACATGGCAAAATCATAGGAGAAACGATTAAGCATGGAGGAGAAAGCTTAATTGACGAGATACACCAAGTATGCAATGAGGTATGGAAACAAGGAAAGATACTTAGTATCAGTATTGGCGACAATACATGAAGGCAGCGTGTTAGAGTGCAAAAATTATAGAACGATTGCCCTAACGAGCCATATAGGAAAAATTTTGATGATGATCTTAAAGGAGAGACTAAGTAGTTTGTTGGAAAAACATTTAGCAGACGAACAGGCAGGTTTCGGGAAAGACAGAAGTACAACGCAGCAGATACTAACATTACGGCTATTAGTTGAAAAGGCAAGAAGAATGCAGAAAAACATCTATTCCTGCTTTGTGTACTTTCAGAAGACATTTGACAGCGTAGACCAAAAAGCCACCTTGGCAGTACTAAAATCTTATGGAATGGATCATAAATTAATAAACCCGCTAAGTTAAATATTGCAGAAGCAGCTGCGAGATTGCCTGAGGAGCTAGGAAACTGGTTCAAACCAAAAAAGAAGCACCAGACAGGGAGATTCTATATTCTAACTATCTTCATAAATCTCTTAGAAAGAGTCACGGAAAAGAGATGCGGGAAACATCAGTTCACGGTGTAAAATTCAATAACCTAAGACTTGCGGATGACATAGTTATCATTGAAGAAAGTGAAGAACAACTAGAGAAAACATTACATCTGCTTAATGAAGAAGGAAAATTGTTTGGACACGTCACTGAATGAAAACAGGAAAATTAAGACTCTAGTCTATGGAATTATGGATGGATCTAACAAAAGAGGCAAACCATATAGACAATGGATTGATGGCGTGAAGAATGTACGGGTGTGGAGCGAATGTACGGGAATTGAGAAACTTGGCAATAGATAGAGAAATAGTGGAAAAAGCGTCGGACACCAACGGGTAGTTAATGATGATGATGAATCTTGTATGGCCATTGTTCCCGATAAAGGAAGACAACTAGAAGAGAAAAACAATTTTCTGTAGTCTTCTAAGCAACTAATCATTTATTATTATATTACAGCAGAAATCTTCACAATAATTAATAAATATTAATACTAATTTAAATATTCGACGGGGGTGAAGAAACGTGTCGCCATCTGTTGACAATGAATTCGAATATATTATTTTACGCGAGCACGTATTAAAACAGTGAGCGAAACACTACTACAAACCTCGAGTTTCGAACAATTCGGATTACGAACAAAATTTTGAACTCGACGACCCGACCAATCGACGAAAGGATTACCGAAAGCTCAGATCAAATATGAAAACCTTAGGGGCAGGAGGTCCCTATAAACTATATACTGTACTAACTTCGGTACAGACCGGAAGTCACGATTTTTTTATAATTAAATATTTACAGAATATATTAACGAGAATAAAAACAGCGCTGAATAATGTTAAATTTAACAATTCTTCGTCCTTGGAATTTTATAAAAGCGATCGATATCGATGCAAATATTCCTCACTTCCTAATCTGCACCACGTTTTTCTACCCCCGCATAGTTTTTAAATTGACACTTCTAGAGATTAATCCTACCTCGACACTGTTACACATTAAATCGAACGGCAAACGATTGACGTATCCACCTACGAATGTAATACAAAGTACTGTACTTAGAGCAACAAAACCAATAGAGTAAAATGGTTGTAAGCATAAATTAGCCTGAATATTTGAGTATTTTATGGTAAGAACTTAATTGGGAACCCATTGAACCTCCTTGCAAAATATGTTCGGTAATTGATGGGTTCTTATTAACATTCTACATGGGGGTGGCTCAAAAGTCATTTAACCGTGTATTGTTTCGTGTATTCCAACTGCATCCGCGAATACCGATGGCGAATTGAATTTCTCAACGCATTTAGAATGGTTAACCGATTTTTGGGCCACCCTAAAGTTCTACAGGGTAATTCAGTTCATATAGTGTTTTTATTTCGCTTAACGGATAAATTGCAAATTAAACTGTGTTTGTCTTCGATTAAGCGCGAAAGTTGGTACCCGAAATCGCTTTAAAATTTTTATTTTCTACCGGTAGATGGCGTGGCAACTGCTACCCGGTCAAAACTCAAATTTTTTTTTTTTTTTTTAATCTATATACGTTTAAATATTGTCGTTGGTATTACGTGAGATTCGGCGAAAGGTGAAAATCCCAATCAATTACAACAGCGTAGAAAACGGGCGAGGGCCCGTTCCGACCATCCGAAACCGGGCCCGGCTGACGTCACCACTTACGAGCGGCGTGTCCGGAAGGGGGCGACACTTATCTTCCACCGTCGGCGTGAGAACCCTACCGGAAATAGCTGTCACGTGTACACGGCTGTCATTTGTCACACGTCGCGGAGAGGAAGTGCCTAATGGTCGTCGAGCAAGTGGTCATTTACAGTTTGATACCGACGCGACGCTAACCTGTGAATGCCGCTCGGGTCTTTAGCGTAACCAAAACCCCATAATCTACTCCCTCGTTCCTTTTTTTTTGGCCCAGAACGTGGGCATTATTTAAAGCGCGTGCCATTCAAAATTGTCCAATCGCGGGAAACGGAAGGATTCGGAATAAGTAATGGAAAGACGTTAACGATCGGAAAAATGCTGGGCCATAAGACGGTTGGGTGATGATGCAACAGCTCTGACCTATCGCCCACCTTCTTGTTAAGTAATTGATTTTTCGACAAGTAACGATACCGGAGACGATATCCGTTACTCGAAAAAAAACAAGATAATTAACAGTTTTCCATTAATCACCGGATAAAAATCGGATAAAACGGGGAATCCCACTAGTTAAATTGCCTCTATCTCTGCTCCGAGTTAAAACTACCCTCTTGGAAAGCGCGTAACTTATCAGTTTTCTAGTTAACTCTCTCTAAATTTAAACTTGTTTTTTTATGCTTCTGGTGTATAAAATCCATCCCTTCTTCTTTCTTTTCAATTCTAAAATCATTCACTCTCCACCTAGTTGAGGATAAGAGCCTGTTTGCCAATTATAAATTAATTCCTGAGCGCTTCTGTTACTTCTAGCGTGACTTAAGTTTCTACTTTGTGAAGTTATAAGTAATTCTTCTTGGAATTGCAACTAATTAAGTTGTATTTAGTAGGATCTTCGAGGGAACTGGCATAAATAGAATGCTTTTAATTTGGATTTATACCTTATAAAATAATCTTATTTGAGAGACACTTAAAAGGCACTCGAATGCTCCGAGACAATTGAAGTACCATGAAAAAAAGGCATAAGTATCATTATTGAAGAAGGCATAAAAAGGCCTTCTTCCCATTACGATGCCCATTACGATGCCTTCCTTAATAATAGGGTTGGAAGATTAGAAAAGCCTTATTGTACCATTTTAGAAAGTACTTCAATTGTTTCGAAGTGTCTTTTAAGTGTCTATGCCTTATTTACTCAAATAAGATTATTTTATAAGGTATAAATCCAAATTAAAAGCCTTATTTCTCTAATAATCGACAGTAAATTCGCTAATTGAAGATAAAATCCATAGAGGTAATTAATTACCGACATTTTTTTTTCTTTTATTTTTGTGGTGTCGTGACCGAGTGTTTCCATTCTGTCCAGGGGAAGCTATTTAAATTACTAGTACAATTTCCCCTGCGACTGTCGGACACGCCCTTGTGTCCAGTAGCTATTTGCATCGTATATCATTCGAGTCCAACACTTTAGGAGGGTGTTTTCTCACCCGCCACCGACGAAAGGAAGTTTCGTGACATCCTTTACTTGAAGTGAGCGGACCCTTAAAAATAATTATCCCCATCCATTCGCTCAATCATATTTCGGACGTGAAGTGTGTCCAGGAAGTCACTAAAAGAATGCAATTTGTTAACTGTTTCCATTGACACTTTCGCTTTCCATCGATGATAGCTGCCATTTTATGGCTATTCATTCCCTTTGCTGCAGCTACACAAAACACCCACGGTTTAACGAAGTAATGAAGTAACTCCACTAAACTGCTTAATTAAGAAGTAAATTTAAAGGGTAAAGAGGTGTTTTAAGAAGGATTTAAACTATATTAAAACACCCTCGTACAACCACAGAATCGAGTACAAGGCACTAAAGAGGAGAGCAGAAAACCCCTGCTCGCACCTGATAAGAGGGGGGACGAGTATTTACCAATATATTTACATCAGAAAAGCCGACTAAAATTTTGTCCACAATTCGAAATAGGTCTGTCCCCCACCTGGACTCACTATGGAAGAGGTTTTTCTCCAAATATTTTCCCATAACCACCTGTGTAGGATCGTTTGTGAGCTCGACATACCTGGCATGTTTGAGTCGCACGTGCAACGACTTTAGAGGTGCGAGTTTTAGTTGTAAATAGTAGAAGAGAATCACCCGATTGAAGGGGGATGGGTGAAGTGGTGCTAACATCCACACAATGCTTCGCAGCTGGAACTGGTACCCCGACATAAGTATTTATTTCTAAGTGTTCCAGAAGGTTAAAGTCGACTATTTAACTTTGTAACCGTGGACACTATTGGCGCTAATTGTCGAGTTTTAATAAGTTTAGCCTGGGGGGGAGGGAACCGGAGAGTTAACTTTTTATCTGTGTTGTGAGGGGATGGAAATCGTAAACAAACACCCAGCTAATGCGACAAAGTTTCGAAAGCTGAAAACTAAGCCATTTATTAAATTCTTTATTGAAAGACTTATTTGCATTGTATTTCTAAACCATCGTTTATTCTGTCTAAGCGTAATTAATGTAATAAATGGACTTTATCGTTTCCATTCGTCCATTGTCACCAGCTTTTGTCTCTTCCTTCTTCTGTCTGCCACTCTGCTTGTTGGTTCTAATTGCTGTCTGGCCAATCCTCTATACGCTTAGATACGTTAACTGACCAATTGTAAACTTGCTACATTTTACTATTTTTATCTGCTAATTAAAGTTAAATAGCCTGTTTCTTGCTTACTGGATTACACAATGTTTAATTCGTTTCTATAGAACCACCAGTCTATAATCTATGTTTAAAGATAGCTTATTATAATGTTCGGATTCACGCACGAATCTCTTGCTTGTCCCTTTTTTTTTTAAAGGTTTTCGGGGTAAAATACGCGAATATTTCATTATTTCTTTTGTAATCAATAAAAATCCTATACATTTTAAATTATAAAATCGTCTAGACTTTCTATTATCTGGTTAGAATTAAGCGCTAATATATCTGGTAGTATCTAAGTGAAAAATCTTCGATAGAAGCCATATCTGTCTAGAAATAAATCGAGATAAAAGTCTTATTTATTGTAGTATTAAAATAATCAAAGTTTTATTAATGACTTAAAATATATGCAAGCCTATCTATGACTCACGACCGCATCCATTAGAAGTGTGGAGGTTTATAGGTTGGCTTTAAAAACGCAAAATTACCACCCTAATCAGTAATTGCATCCAAGCAACAAGTCCGATCTACCGTTCGAAGAGATTATATCTAGGATATTATCTTATCTTATGATACAACTAACCTCAGTAGTTTACTGTGGAGTGGACGTTGTACCAAGCACGCCTTAAAGTGTGGATTCATTAAAGGAGTCCACGTGTTATCCAAAAAAAAAAAAAGGGAAAAAAAAGGAGAGAAAAAATCCACCTCCTCTGGGAAAGAGGCTGAGCTTCTACCTGGTTACTTTATTTATAAAGGAAGAAGAAGATGTACGAAGAGAGATGGTCTGATTTCTACTATCCGACAGATAATCAGAACGATAATCAAGATTGTCAAAATTCTTTCCAATTTTTGAACTGCGATGCCAATGCTAATAATGAGGATTACTGGTGAGTTCGTCCTCTACTTTTCTTGCTTTTTTTTTAAAAAAATATACGGTTAATTCTTCTAAATACTTAATTTTTAGAGGGTCATTCCTTCTTCTCTGTAAATTTAATTTTTAATGGTTTAATTCGTCTAATAAGTCTAGATTATACTGCTTATGTACCAAATTCTATTTAAGTGGTGAAGTGAAGAATTTTAAACGCATTCTTAATAATTTATAGGCTAAGAAATCAATTTATAATTACCAAATTTAACAGGAACGAAGCCATTTTGTCATAGATAAAGTTAACTTAAACACGAGATCGATGAATGTTTAAGGGATCCGACTTGAAAAAAACAATAATAATGTAAGGAACTTGAAAGGTTTTTTAACGTATAAAGTATTTAATTTTCCTGTTAATTCAATTGTAAAATATATTATCAATAGAAAACTGCGAGCGAGCTGTAGAAAAATTAAAATATATAGGCCTATATACCCTATATATATATATATATACACACACGACAACGAGCGAATACGTTGCAAATCCTAGAAGAGATGATCGATTGGGGCTTAGAAATTTAAATCGTCTGCAGAAATACGGACCTTTCCTTCATCATCTTCATCTCTTCAAATTCAGAAGAGATTTTGAAGAGATGAAGATGATGAAGGAAGAGGAGGAGGAGGAGGAAGAGGAGATGATTTCCGTTAAAATTGTTTTAAATTTGTTACATCCTTTAGCCTTAATTATTAATTTCCCCCCTTAAGGAATGGGGTGAGTTATCTTAGGGGATGGAAAGAGGAAAAAAAGTATTTTTCGAAATACAAATTAAATACGATAAACACGGATCAGTTACGTTATCAAACGAAGCAAATATCAATCTGTGCAATCGTCTTCTGGTCTTTGATGCTTTTTATCTCGTTCCTTTTTCTTCGTATTGATCAAAGTCTAGCTTCGGTCATTACTTGATTTTATTGAGCAAAGTCTGATGCCTGTCTATCTGATAATTACCTTCAGAATATTATTATTATTATTATTATTTAAAGAGTAAGATTTTCTAATTCCATCCTCCCCCATAACTCGAGCATCTCTACGATTCGGATGTGATCCTTGTTAAAATCTTTCGTCTTACAGTTAGGAAGGGATGGAGGAAATGAAATTAAACAAGAGCGACAGGTGATAAAAGGCAAACAAAGAACATATGGTGCCATTTTTTACGTGCGATTCCATCCTAACTACGCTAGTTACCAACCAGGTGCTACTCTAATTCAGTAAACACGTTAAAATCCCCATCGAATTATGTATTTTAACCAGGAAAAAAATGGAAAATTTCACCTCTATTTACATCACAAATGAATTCAGATTTATGTATATAAAGACACGTAACAAAATTAAACACTGGCGTGTAAACAATTATATAAATATTTTAAAAAATTAATTTAAAGATTAAAAACAATACTTTTTTCTCTCTACGTACAGTAAATGCGAAGGATAGAAGACAATATGTAAAAATTCATCCCTTTTAGTTCTTCTTTCTCTTACCAGATGGCAGACGTGGCACGGGTGAGATGTCTTTAGGTGTTGTCGAAAAGTCACGAGAAGTTTAAGAATTGCAGTCGAGGAGAATAAAAATTCATTCATTTATAGTATTCCGCTTATCTTATGTATATACATAACACGGGATTACCTTTATAGATACAGGCCTATGTTTTGTATATATATATAAGCTTACATATATCGTGCATACCTGCAGTATTGTATTGTGTATGTGTATATTAATATTGTATTAAAAGATAATGCGATATACACTATACAAATATATCCCAACTTACCGTAAATTTGGTAATTAAACTTCTATTTGAGAACAAGGTAAACGTTTCCCCCCTAAATTACAGTAAATTCTTGTATTAATTCGGTGATAAATTCCACTTCCACGTAAAAGATTTTCTGCAACGTCCGACCTCCATCTTTGTTTATTGTGGTAATATTTCTTCATTTTTTCTAATGAGAGAGTTTAAATAAATTAAGGATCATCAGAAGATTGGCAAGAAGATGCTGCTCTTCATCCTAAAGTCTGTAAAGGGATACAGCCAGATCCTCATCCTATATTGGAAGTATTATAACCTGTATAGCACCCCTATTCCTTATTACTTAGAGATCCTATATACGGGAGCCGCAATAAGAGTTTTATCATACAAGAAAGCTCATCGGAGGGCCGAAAAATTGCCGAAATATATTGCGGTAACGAACACACTCCTAAACGAGATTCAACCTTATTTAAGTAGTATCGATCATACCAAACACTAACTTATGCTATACATTTGTTAGTAAATTAACAAGAACCGAGCGTTTAATGAGACGTAGATTGTTAGCAAGGTTTTTAAACGCAAAGCAAACATATAAAGGTCGCCCCGTGATCGATAATTTACTCGACAATGGCCCATCCATTAAACGATCAATCGAAGAAAAGAGCTCGCTACCTCACTCCTATTCGGTTCCACAACGACCAATACTGTGTGTTAATGTTTATTCCGATATCCGAACCACACGATAAAGGGGCCAAAAAAGAAAAAAAAGAAGAAGTCGAACGTTAATTTTCGAGATGGAGAACAAATAAATCTACAGGTTCGCTTATCTCTAGCATCGACGTGTGTATTATCTCATACCAGGGAGGGAATATTTAACACGTAAACACCTAACATCTTCTTGAACAAACTCCGACTGTACAGCCGTGTGTACAGCATCCGTACACCCCTCCTGGAGATAAAAATCGTAACGAAAAGTAAAATTAATAACGGCCATTTTGTAACGTCGCGTGATGGAGTAAGTTACATATAACACGTGTTTTGGCTGCGATTTGAGAACACGCGAAATGCTCATTCTCTAGAAGTGAACATGAGGGTTTAACTATGCCTACTAAGTGCCCGCATGTGTATTAAAAGACTATATCATATCTGTGTTCCAATGTATTTATAAATCGAAGCGTAAGGTGGGGTAGATTATGGGATTTCTTTTTGTGTTGTTGTGTGTAAAATCTAAAATGTTCGAGTATTTAATATGCCTTTTTACACACAGGCTTCTAAGTGTTTTTACACATCAGGCTTCTATACATTGATAAAGGGCTTCTGTTCGAGAATTTGAAGAATATAGATTAAAGGTAACTAAAACGGGTGATATTTGGTACAAAAAGAATGGGTTATCAGAAGAATTTAGGATTAAAGATGAAAAATTGAGAACGTTTAAAGGCGCGAAGATCGAAATCTTGCAATTCTTTGCCGTTCTGTGCGTAGAGAAACCAACGAAAATGTATAAAGTTATAGAATAGAAATTGTTTAAAGGTTCATCCTTGGAAAAGACACGGAGATTACATTAAATTTCGAAAGCGAATTAAACTTTCACCTCTCGAATTCTCACGTGCGAACAAACGAGAGAAGTCAGATCACGAATCTTGTTAAGACCCGCTGATGCTGAATCTCTTAATGGAAGTGAAAGCTGTAGACTATGGAGGGATGTGGATAAGTCCTCGTTCTGTCGGCGACGTGATGTGACTTTTACCTCTCTCTCTCTCTTTCTCTTTTCGTTCCTTCTGCCATTGGGACTGAAGTGTGTAGAGTCGAGTACTCTTCAGAACCGGTAGGGCCTCATTGTTCGAGACCGTATACATTAGTAGGCCTATACTAGCCTCTAGAGAGATCAAATATTGGTATAACGCTTAGCGGGTCCTAAATTCAACTTTTATTCCTGTACACTGTATGATTTAGGGCCTACAGGCTTTAACCTACGATTATCACACTTAATATTCCAATAATTTCGAGTGTTTCTGATGCAAGAATCCCATTGATCAATGTAATTTTCGGGCCTCTCTACAGCCTGAAAATTACCTTTGGAGCCTTCGTAGGTATGAAAATTAAACCTTTGAAATGTTATAAACCGGAAGATAACTTTGGAGGAAGGTCAATCCAGAAAACAGCAAAATTTACATGGGAAAGGGTGGAAAAACCGGAGAAAAAGTCGAATCTGTCAGCCGTAAGAGCAATTCTTAGAGGAGTGAAGCCGCATCTTCTCGTCCACAATAATTTTAAAAAAGAGCTTTAACGTCCCGTCATTAGCGGCTTTTATAAACGTCATCAACCACACGAAAATGACTTTTCCTAAACTTCATATACTTTCGTTGCGCTGTTTACAAATCGTCTTCACCCCGCATCGACCAATAGCCGTTCGATAACTGCAACGAAGGTTGTCATCTGTTAGGTAACCCACCAATAAGGAAGCTAGTAAACAGTAAAAGTCTCCACCCGTTCTAACTCCGCCTTTCGGTACCGGTTTGGGCGCGTGCTGACGGTACATGCTACTCAGAAGGACAACTGGACAGCACGTGCGGCTCTTTCTGTGGTATCATGGACAATCTGGCGTGGACATTCGAAACTTTCAAAATTCAAACTTAAAATAATTACGTATTTGTATTAAATATATAAACATTACAGCGGTTACAATAAGTTAACACTTAAAAAAACTGAGAACTTTAAAACTCCATTTTTAAGATGAAGAACCACAAAATGAGCGGTGGTAACGGTGTAAAATCGACAGGTTTTAGTGTTCGGGATATTTTGGACTTACCGGATGTTAAATCTCCTTGCAGCGCCGTCAGGAGCACCCTGGTAACTTCGGCCAGTCGTGGCACCCTTTCTCCTATAGCCTACACAGCCTGCAACATGATTGGCACCGAAAATCCCTTTGGAAGATGGATACCTGACGTTCTGTGTTACTCCACATTACGTAAGTACACGTTATTTTTCTTAATCCTTGAGTTAAAAACGGGCGTTTCTATTCGTGTCCTTCTTCAACATCCTTCACGCTCCTACTAAATCATAACCACAAGGAACGTGAAGATCCATCACGTAGCAAAGCCGATGAATACACTTACAAGAATTCAGTCAAACTAGTAATTTGGAGCCACAATATGGTCGAAACTCGAGTCTAGTTGAGGGAATTCAGTTAATAGATTAAATATTGCCAGACGAATTAATAAATTCTTAAAATTTAGTAGATTATGCGGAAAGCAATGCGTTAAATCTTGTAGTTGCGGTTCACCCCGATAGTTATCGATTCGTAGCTTACTACTTGCGGTTTGTACATTAGAAAATTGATTTTAATGCGGAGAATTTTGAGTAGATTAACTTCCTCGTAACTAGTTCCATTAGAAACAGTCTGGAAATTTCGATAATAAGTCAATTTACGGCAAAGAATCGACTTTATAGAAGACGAGAAACGTAGGATCGATGAGACCGATCATCAGAGATTTTGGCATTTCTCAAATCGCCATCATCACGTAAACAACTGCGGGTGGTAGAGGAGCTACAGGCTAATTTAGATCCGTACCTAGAAATTAATATCGATCGAGAGTGGGTAGAGAAGCGACGAATGGAGAGAGATTCATCATTGTCACTTTTTGCTCCAAGTTCTCACTGCCGCAGTTTTCTTCTCTTTATTGCTTATAAAAATACGTCAGCGGAAATTTCGGCAGAAGAGATTGCTTTTAAGCCCGGGGATGTTCTCCACTTCTATAGTTGGGGTCTCGTAAAAAAGCCTCTTTATCCTTCCAAATGGAACTCAAATTCTTCGATAAAGATCCACACTCGGAGGCCAGAGATGCCATCGTATTTTCTTCTCTTGCATCTACCAGGGTATACATCACCTAACCATTTACCTTTCGCCTAATTTTTCCTGGTAGAAACTTCTCCTTCCTAAATGCTACCTTGGCGATAAATGGGGATGAGAAATGACCCCGATGCTCGAATTTTAACATGGAGTAGAATCTGAGAACCAAAATTATAGCTTATCTCGCAGTTGCATAGCTTCGTACCTTCCACAGTTAATGTTTTCTACGGAACGTAACTGACATTTCTTATAACATTTGACACGAAACACGACATAAACATGCCTTACGGGATTTATATTAATATATACGTGTGTGTGTACTTTGAAAAAACAGGCGATAAATATGGATTGTAACGTGGCAAATCCTGTTTTGACAGTTTGACAATGTGAAGTTCCTTTAAGAAATGATTTAGTTTTAAAGAAATGCGTATATATTTTTTTCTAAATATATCTCAAACCTCTGACGTTAAGTCATTTATTGTATAATATATCTTGAGAGTAGGTATAGGCCTAGAACGGTGGCGTTAACTTAAATACATCTAGTGGTGGCGTTAACTTAAATACAAACTAGTATAAAATGAATTAAAATTATAAGAATTTATAATTATAATTATAAGAAGTTTATTCAAACTTCTAAAGATTGGAGGAACTGTTTGAAATCCTTTACAAAAGTGTTCTGATCCTTACAGGCCTAAGGAGGAGAGCGTAGACGAAGACAAAGTGAATCAGAAAACGAATAAAATCCATTATAAAGGAGGTTTTAATCAAAATTTTTCCTTAGTAAATTGTTTTTAGCAATGTTTTCTCGCAAGTAAAGCATTTGATCGAGCTTAAAGTTGTATTTTAGATACAGCAAACCGTTTCTAATTCGGTCTTCGAAAGGATTATGCCTCAAAATTGAAGCATATTTCAATACCCCAATTCATTTCGTTTTAAATGAAGGAAGGCCTCTATCTTTAAGTAATTTTTATTACTAAAAGTCTTCATTTGTAAGATTTATCTTCAAAAATCTCTCGTGTAACAGTAAGTTCTCAATTGAGTTAAGTCCAGTAACGAGGATAGCCTACTGACTTTCCATAAAACACCCAAAGAGGGACCATTTACTATAGGTAGAGGGGCGATTTGTTTCGGGTTTCACAAGAAAGAAAAAGAACCATAAAGACCTTTTGTCTTCCATAACGAAAATGACTAACGTCCCGTCTCCTCCCTTAGGCTGCTCTACTACTTTTTATTTTAACTTGGAGCCGGCCATTCTTCTCGGTGCGAGCTGGTTTTAGTTCCTAAATAAATATGAGAGGGCCGAATTTTTTCAGGGAAAAATCACGCGATTAATTTATCCCGAAAAGTTGGAGCTACTAGGAGATGTTTGTAGATGTAACCTAGTTTTGTAAGAGTTTTAGAGGCAGACATCCGTGAAGAATAGATCCATAGAGAGAGAGAGAGAGAGAGGCCGAATCTGCTTGTACTGATAAGACTTGGCCGACCTCTTGCAGCAGGGCCGAATTATCGCGTTTTGGAAGAGAGATCAATGTTACAGACGTATGTTAGAAAAGAATGGACATTGTCGCATCCAAGACGATCGAAAGCCAAACCTTTGTCTCTGATAAATTTTCATCATTCTGTAAACTATCGACCCTCCTTTCTCATAGCAGATGTCTGATATTGTTTCAAACTCTCTCTCTATCTGTTCAATTCGTTCTTCCCGAATACCATCGACTGAATTTTTGTCGATAAGCTGACAATTTGTCTGTCAAACCGCCAACTGGGCCAAGGGCTAATTTACATACTAGATAAGTATATCTTTCGGGAAACGGCCATTCTTTAGCCGAAGAGATAACTTAAACTTCTGAAAAGTAAAAAAAAAAAAAAGTTTCGCCCCTCTTCGTTGTATGGTGCGCTAGAAATGCTCTTAATTTTCGTGAAATTCTGATGAAAAAGTTGTAACACTCGATCCTTCTCGACCCTATCTGCATGGACTAGGAGCCGAATCCGTTAATCTACAAGGGATTTGAACAACAGATGCTTCCGAATACCTAGCGAGATATAACGTCTTTTTTACCAAAAAATGATGTTAAAACCCCCGAAAAATTGGGTTATACTTAAAAAACGTCTAATTTTTAATAAATTTTTATACACTTCATCCGAAGGGTTTCTAGAAATCCATAGACACAGAACTCTTCTTGAGGTCTTCCTCACTTTTTAAAAAGGGAAACCCTCGAGTTGACTGAATTAAATTATTATGTTTCCAGATAGTTTGCGGTTTGCAGACCGTTCCATTGCAACAAATCATCCATTATCTATCCACTAATGACTATATTTAGCCAACTGTATTTGAAGTAAACAGGAAAGTTTCCTTTCCCAGTTACGCTCGATGGCTTTCCGAAACGTGCAATTTCACCAAAATGCTCTAGTTCCTGAGAGAACGGCGCTCGAGAAAAGGCCCCTTTATATCGATTCCAACAGGCCTCAATTTGTTACAAGTCACTACAACAGGAAGATTAATTAACATTCTGAAAATTCTTGAAGGATTCGAGTGTTTCTTTATCATTTGTGGTTTTAACTCGAGATGCTTCAAGAGCCGTACCTCCTAATCGGTAGGCACTCATTCTAACTCTCTAAATTTAGAGAAGATTCGAAGATTATGTTAATTTTCAGTAGAAAATTCGCGATTCATCACTTAAATCCTTCAGATTTCTTAAAAATTTCACCTTTATCTCCGGCCTAAACTCAAACTCGCTGTAATCTTCTACCTCTAGAAACAAATTCTGATGGCCTTTCCATAAGAGCAATTCCCAATTTACTCGATTCTTAAGCTCGATGACGACAGAATCGCAATTTATATTCAATCAAATATTAATTTGCTGATGGCATCGCTTGACTTAATTGCTTGTAAAATTTGCTCTCGAATACCTATACGGTAATTCTTCCCTGTTTCTTATTATTAAATCAAAGTCTAGGATGGGTGCCACAGTTTGCTACAGTAATTCCTTGATAAATCTAATCGTGGGATAACGCAAACGATGTCGAAATAGGCGAGGATGGAGGGTCAAAGTGGTTAAGAGAACCAAAAATTCGGGCAATTAAGGCTTATTTTTAGCAACCTAGACCCATCGTTGGGATGATGGGATCGTAAAAGGGCTTTTGTGAGCGCCGTATCGATTACTGAGCTTTTATGTTACGCATTGTGCACCTCTTTACTAAGAATATCCCGATGTCGTAAAGGTTTTACGACAAGCAAAGGATGGTTCTACCCTCCACGCAACCTGTAGCCTACGTACGAATTTATATTTACGATTTTAAACAGATTTATCACTAAGAATTCCTACTTAAACCCATCCGGATCGAGGCCTACCTGTATTTCCTGTAGGCCTAGAAGACTTTGATAATCAACCGTGGTATATATACCCTGTGCCAATCTAACAACATACAATATACAATAGATTTTGATTGCTTCAAGCTTTTTGAAATGAAGTCTTAAAGCGTGATACGAGACAGAGCAAATTTATATGTAAAATATATAGGGTGGCCCAAAAGCTAGTTAACCGTATCTTGTACCGGAGTTCAGAATAACGCGTATTTGCTTCACAAAATCGATGGAAACGTAATTAAATTGTAGTTAGTGTTTAAGTATTTAACTTAGCAGTTTAGTTTTTGTGGTGGTCATCTGACTTTTGGACCACCCGTGTATGTTACGCCTACGTAAAGTAAACCTAACACATAAAATTATTACTGTTTATGAGGTAAATATTCTACCCCATTGTCGACAATGGTTCCTAAATTAACTAACAACGTTTAACTAAATTTAAGTTTTCGGTATTAAACTTAACTAAACACAATTAACCACTTAATTAATTATTTTTAAACTTGAAAAAAGTTTAATTAAACTATTTAAATTAAGATTTTTGACAAAGAAACTTTACGAAATTCGCTCGAATCTTTCCGCCAAACTTCATTAGATTAACACAAAATTAAAATGCGAAGGATGAAGCAAATTCATATCCCTTCTTACGCTTAAAAAAACTATTTAATTAGGCTATTTACGCGCGAATTTCACGTTTAATTAACGTTTTGAGTATAGAAACTTCGTAGCGTTTTACGTGGTTCCCTTCAGAAACTCGTAAGGTTAACTTTAAATGCGAAGAATGCAACAAATTAACGGATTTTAAATTTAATAAACGTGTAATTAAATTATTGACCAGCGAATCTTACGTTTCTATAAAGGAACTTCACAAGAGATTCTCTCAATGGAACTTCGACAGATTCGTGAGATTCTTCACAGAACTTCGCACCATTCTTTTCGGGAGATTGGAATTAAACTAAAATACGAAGAATTCATTAAATAAAAACCATTTTACTAAACGTGGATCTCCCTCGCAGCAACTTCACAAGATCCGTTCGCCAATGAATTTCAGAAAACCCAACGTTAATTACGCGAATTTCAAAGAAAATCCAATTCTTCGCCTTACGAAACAACAAATATACAAACCGAAATCATCAACACCAGCATCACTATCAAGATTTCGATAGGCGGTAAAACGTCACACACATACACATCGACGTCAATAAACACAAACTACTAAAAATAGGAGGAAAAAATATTTTAAAAAATTACAAAAAACACCATTCCTCGAGCCGCATTTTAAAGTGAGAGATGCTTTTCTTTCGAGTGATTTCGTTACTGTTGTTACCTCCAGTCCGAGATATCTTAATTAGTTAATTAGGCATATATCTCGTCGGTCTGCACGAAAGAATCTGCCTTTATCAATCAAATTGATACTTAAACAACCCTGATAAAATCTTATAAATCCACATAACAACCGATCGAAGCCGAGCGAACTCTCTCTCTCTTTTTTTTTCCCCCTTCTTCTTCTTTTTTTTTTAAAGATGGAAAAGCTCATTTACTCTTATACCCGCATTTTTCTTTATTGTGCCATTACGTTTAATGGAAATAACCGAGGGGAAAAAAATTAGTTATACATCCATTAAGAAGCGGCAACCGCTTTTAATCACGTGATCGCACAGTTACCATCGAGAAGAGATTGTCTACAATCTTTGGCCAACTCTGCCTTATCGGATGACACTAGAAGTTCTTGATTTTAAGTTAAATTTCTCTGGAAATTAAGGGTTTTTTTTAGTAATCCCGAGTCTTCGGCCATTCTTCTATAATTATTTGAGTACAAAATTTTCATTCTATCCCCCCTTGTGATGATAGAGTCGTTACAATTAAGGGTATTCTTCTTGTTTTTTTATTTCGTATCTTGCATTGGGCATAGAATTTCCTTTAAATTTTTCCAGAAAATACGTTGTATACCCCAGAAAAAGTTAGGGAATCGTTAAGTTTACCAGAGAAATTCTACAAATTTACATAATTTTTAACGAATTTCGGTAATAAAATGCGAATAAACTAGGCTAGGACCAAATTAAGGGCCTTCTGTACGTTGTAAGTTAAGGCCGGTCGCGGCGTGGAGCCGTAACATATAGAAGGCCTTCCGCATTCACTAAATAACCATAAATTTAGAAGCTCGACGAGCGCAGCTGCATCAGGTTCTAAATCTGTATTTTGTCCGCGCGTAAATCCCCGAAGTGGGTACGCGATTAAAATCGAATTGCTGGCGGGTACTTTGGTGTTTCAGAATTTAGGAAATTAATCAAATTTTAGGGAATTTTTAAGGTTATTTTTTGCAGAAACTAACCGATATTTCCGTTTTTCCACAGCCGCCATCAACCATTTGGGCATCGAGACCGCACCCGTATCCAATTCGGACAGGGAAGACGACCTGTTGTCCACCACCAGCGTGTCTCCGGTGGACTTGCAACCCCCCAGCGATCCCGTACCCGTACCTCCTCCCGCCGTGGCACCTTCGCCCCACCAGGCATCGCCGGCTCTACCCACAGAAGCGGTGGCAGATCCGTCCCTGTCCCATCAACCCAAACTCAACCTCAACCTCTCCCTTCTGGCCAACGACAGCTCTTCGGGTCTGGCACTCAGGACTAACGGAGAGATGGGTGCTGCCTCCGCATCCTCCGACTCCTATTCGGCAATCAGAGAAGAAGAGGTCCTCCCGGAGAACGAGGAGCAGAATTCGGACGGTCACAGCGGCGACACCACTTCCCAAAACGGCGATCAACCCCCCAAAAAACGTAAGAGGCGCGTGCTCTTCTCCAAGGCTCAAACGTACGAGCTGGAAAGACGCTTCAGGCAGCAACGTTATCTGTCGGCTCCCGAACGAGAACACTTGGCCAGCATCATCCGGCTGACCCCCACTCAAGTCAAAATCTGGTTCCAGAACCACCGCTACAAGACCAAGAGGGCGAGGCAGGAGAAGGGACTGGACGTCAACCCCTTACCTTCGCCTCGTCGCGTGGCCGTACCCGTTCTGGTCAGGGACGGAAAGCCTTGCCAACCCCCCGTAGGGGGCAAGAACGTTCAGGAAGCGGGAGGGCCCCAGCTACAGACTGCCGTGTCCCTGCCTTCGGTGGCCACCATGGCGGGTTTGGGCACCGTAGGATCCTTCGGAATGAACGTGGTGGCACCCAACTATCCCCTGATCCACCAACCGCGATGGTGGTGACTGTGACGTTACCGGAAAGCTTCACCAGTGCCTTTTTATCACTGCACACAAGTTTTTATCCCGACGACTCAAAAAATAAACTCAGGACTAAAGGTTAAAGGTTATAATTTATAAACCTGAAGATACGACTGTTCGAATCGTTTAAGACAATTATTCTTAAGCTCCGTGGAGAGCGGAAGCGTCGAATTTGGTTCCAAAATATTCCAAAATAACGAAAAGAAAAAGAAAAGAATTCAAAAATTCTGCTAGTCATCTTCACCGTTCGAAACTCTAGTCAGCTTCAATAATACTTTCGAGTGTACATATGCTATAACAAAACGACCGGAAACACTACGAAATGAATAATTATCCGCAAGATTCTCCTTCAGAGAACACTCTTCACATCCGAACAAAGCTAAAGAGTCACTTCTGAAGACTATAAAACATCCAAAAAATTAATTTTAGAAGCTCTCATCTTAGAATTTTCATCCGCATCACTAGCATCTTTGTGTTCCAGGTGATGTTTCGCGTATTGTTTTATCGTTTCCCTTTATTCCCTACGCATTTATTTGTAAAGCATGCATTTAGTTTCTTTTTTTTTACTCTCTTTCTTACGGTTTCTTTGCATTTAATTTCGTTTTAATAGTCTCATTGGCGTCGAACGGACCGACTCCTTCCGAAACTCGCTGGATTTCGATTTAAATTATTTTTCAGACGTAACTAATTCCTAGCTAAGGATGCAGATAAGGAGCTAAATTAAGACGAGGGATACTGGGGGGTGGGGGAGTGAGCCTTTGGTTAATCGAAAGTGTTACGTCATACACAAAAACTTAATTTCCAAGAGATTCGAGCACTACGGCACTCCTTTTGTGTTACTTAAAGCACCAAAAAAGCGTTTGAAAACAGCGGTTTAACAAGAGACGAACTGATTGATGGAGCTACTTAACAAGATTCCTTTGTCACCATCCAAGAGTTCGAACACGCTCCTTTCAAAGCGCGGAAGTTTACCTCGGGCAACTGCAAACTTCTCCTTTCACCCCCACACAGTAAGGAAGTTTTGCAAACAAGAAACCGGAGGAGGAACGAAGGGGGAAGAGAGGGAGAGACAGAGAGAGAGAGAGAGGAGGTGTTTTAATAATTTGCAAAGACAAAAACCAATGCTTCTGCTCCTCTGATCCCTGGCGGCTATACCCTGTTAGATAAGGCTGTTTAACGCATCCGGTTGTCGGTAAGATAAGGCTCAGCAATAACTAGACACTTGCTTCCGATCATTCGTTTACCCCTCGTTTTGTTAACATCGGACCCGAGCTCCTCTCTACTTCCTCCCCCTACCTCCCCCCTTTCGTCTAATGGCCCAGGCGCTTTTTAATTTCCATCCAAACTTTCCCCCTCCTGGATGCCTTAAACCATCTGGCCGTATTTTTATCGGATAAAACGTCGGCGCCAGCAGTTAACAGTTCCTGCGAGGTAGAGGTTGTGGCACATCCCTAGGCCCGTGTGGCTGTTTAATAAGAATCGCATCGATTGTGGCAAAACCCTTTTCTTCCACAGATTATGGCTCCGGAATGAAAGGAAAGCTTTGATTAGGCCGAGACGTGACGGATTTTTTTCTGTATTTTAATGCCAAAAAAAACACCCTTTCCTCCTCGCTGACCGACCGGAATTTCGGTTTCCATCCAAATTTAAATTGGCACGACCCAAAATTCACTAAAAATTTGACCGGTTTCTCTTTCCTCCTCGCTCGGGACGAGATGACAAAATTAAACATCAGACCCCCCTCCTCCCGCATAATTTTGCTCCTTAAGAAATTAGGAAACTTCGGGACACATCACGAGTTCCAAAAGTTTCGTTTAGGTCTAATTTAGGACCATCTTTCAGCCAATTTTTTGTCTTTCCAAAGCGTGAAAGATAGATCGAAACGACCTTCTACCATCCGTAACTAGTAATAGTTAGATATAGCTAACGTCTACTGTTATTTGTGCGTGAAAAGTTTAAAAAAAAGTACGTTAGGTATATCAAAAATAAAAGATAAAAATACAATAAAATAAAATGTTTTCTTAGCATGTTAATCGCAAGTTTAAAAGTTGTACATTATTTGAAGAGTGCGAGGAGACGAAATCGTGTACATAACTCTGTAAACGATTATCAAATTGTGTAACTTGTTGTCTGAACGGAAGCGTTCTAATGTAGACATGTTATATCCAAAAAAAAAGAAAGAAAGTCAATAAATAATGTAGTCAATAAAATTATTACGTTTTCTTGTCACAGAAGGGATACAACAATAGATTTCGAGACACATCTTACCATACGCGAGTCATTCGGCATCTCCGGATTTCTGCTGGATTTCCTTTAGAAAAAATGGGATTAAATACTTTAAAAACAGTTTTAAAATGTATATAAATTATAAAATAAACAATATAGTTTGAAATTAACCCATTTATACGGTTTATAATAGAGTAATCTTAAATTGAATCGTTGACTACATCCGAAGATGTCGATTGGGAGTGATGTTTTCGCTGCATTCTGGTGTAATTTTCTTTATAAAATTGGGATTAAATAGTTGAGAAATTGTTTAAATGTGGATAAATTGTGAGATATTTTATATTATAATTACTTTTATAACATCGCGTGACGAATCTAAATTGATAACCAAGAGAGAAGGATTATAAGAGACTGCGTAAGTGATAACTTATATCAATTTTGAAATTATATATTATTCTGCGGAATTTGTGGTTAGCCCGGGTGTAGGCCACACCTAATCAATCAATTTAGAGTTAATTCGGTTTTATATTATAATTCGACAGCGCAAATAAACAAAAACAACCCTCGATAAAACCTAATTGTTGTTATTATTATTGATTCGTATTCTCTACGCATAATCGAGGTTTGTCGTAGTTATTCTGCGTTATAAACGGGTATTAATTGTGTGGCGCTCGACGACGTTGGTCTATACTTTTACCCCTATTTAATATTTAAGTTTTAGTGTTAAAATAATGGAAAATTATCTCGGTTTACTCGACTGTTCGAGTGCTCGATCACCATCGATCTTTTCGGCGTTAAGTAGACGAAGTAAATATATAAAAACACAACAGATGTTGGACAAATTACAAATATTCCAATTGTACAACTGCGGAACCGAAGCGAACAATAGAAAACCGGGGTAGGAGAGATTACATTGAAGGTCCTACATTTAAGTCCTCACATTACCACATCCATACAATCGTAGCTGTAAGCTGATTGCAACCACACATCGTGTTTGCGACTATTTTTGTATTTTATTTTATTTTTTTTTCCTACCTCCTCCTCCTTTCCTTTTCGAACCGACACCTTCTTTATACATCTGTAAAGTCGCCGCACCTTACCGGGTCTTAATCTCTTCTTTATCATGTTAATCTGTGTTTAATCCCAATTTAAATGCTCTCTCTCTCTCTCTCTCTCTCTCTCCTCACTTAAATCACACGATTTTAATTAAAATTCGCAATTAAGAAGAGGAGAAAGAAGATGAGGATGAAGAGCATATTTTCTTCTTTACACACGTGTAAATTTAATAATTAAAAAATAAAAATGGCGGTTGTAAAAACCGCGTGGAAAATTCTCAGACGATTAAAGAAGGGTAGAAATGTATAAATTTACAAATTACAAACGTAACTTCTCTGTTAATGAAAGAGCAGATGACAAAAGATATCAAGCAGACATAAATTATTATCTTATCGGCAGAGTCATTTACTCCTTCTTGTTTACGATAAGAGTGGATACAAGTCAAGTCTCTCCTGCAACATTTAAAAATTACATCTCTAATAATAGGATTACTTTCGATTTACTGTACTACTCATAATAAAGTGTAGAATATATTAAACGATTACTGATTGTTCCTCTACTTATTAACTACTAAAACAATCTGACGTCGTTAAAAATACCCCCTCGATTCTTCTTCAACGCTATCTGACTTGACTAAATGTTATAGATTTACTCCTTCTTTATCGTTTTAAAATGCTCTCTGGATTTTAAACGGGGGGTGGAAATGCAGTCGAGTCTTCTTTTAAAGTTTTTTCATTATAAAAAAACGTAAGGAAAATAATAAAGAATAAATTATCAGCCTCTATAAAGGGATTTAAAGTTGTATTATCTTGTTCCGAGACGTAAAATGGCTTTCGAATTTCCTAAAAAAATTACTTTTTAATTTGAAATTTAAGTAATGGCATCTGAATATTTAGAGCTTAGGCTAAAATATACGAGCCTAAGCTCTAAATATAATAATTAAGACACTGTATAAGGTCTTTACGACATTTTATAGAGTTACTCTAGCGATATATCTATACAAATATGCCCTATATTACATTACTATATAAAGACAATCCCTATACTAGTGTGTTGATCATACAGTTGTATACTCTAGGCCGGCACTAAGATCTACACCCATAATTTAAATATTTACAGAATATAACGAAGAACTGATATAAAATTAACTTGGAATTTCATACTTTACATGTACAACCATTAAGAGAATTCGTCCTAGAAATGTTCATTTGGAAGAAGAAATTTATCACACCAAACTGGTATTTAATGTAGTACCTATTTAAAGTAATTAACTTTAAATCAGAATTAACTTTATTATTATGGATATAGGTGAGAGAATCTAGGTTATACCCTTGTATTAACCTACTTTCTTACCGTTACATCGAGCGTAACGGAGAAAAATGTTAAAGAATTAAGCGTGTAAGGAGTTACTTTTTTCAATCTTTCATACGTTTTAATACTATAAAGTTGGACGTTTTTAATTAAATTTAATTAATTTACAGCGAATTTTATTAAATGTTTTGCACCTTTTTTTAAATTATCGATTGGTATTTTTATTATTATTATATTCGGAGCGGTGTTTATTTTTGTATTGTGGAAATGTGTCTAATTTATATAGATAGAGAGATGAGATACCTGTCCAAATTTACAGGGGTGTCCAGTAAATTTAACAGATTTTATATATATATAAACAAGGCTTTCTCCCAGTTTATATATAGAAAATATGATGCTACATCCTTGTATTATATGAAAAGATCATCAGATCATAATCACCATCATCAATACGTAATGGAATAACAGCATCATTTACACTCTCGCTTGAAAAATACTTTCTCGACATAATTAAATCAACTACTTTCTTTCCCATAATAGAAGTAAATTTGGGATTGGGTCAAACATCCTTAAATATAATAAATTTACGTATATTTAGCTTAAATTCGAATTAATCTCGGCCAACATCCCCTAGAGAAACATCGAATCCGGGGTATATTAACTTTTACATCAGCTTAAAGACAGTTAATTACTACACGTCTACCGTATATATATATATATATATATTATTCATGATCGGGTGGTAAAAAATGAATCGGAAATGACGTCAGAATAGTGTCCAGGATGCAGATTTATCACCGGATCGACTCGACTAACGAAGCGTGGCTAGTCTCAGCTATTAAAGGGACGAAATAAAAATATGTTTGTGCTATTGTATTTATATTCATAGGGGAGTAAGCATCATTGCTTTTCATCTCGACTCATCACTTTACCGCTCGGTAAAGCTCTAAAGATTGGGCCATCTGTCGTCGGTCGTCATTACCCCTTAGGGAAAAGGTACGAAGGGCGGTTTAGGCTATTATTACGGGGTTTGCTACACATTGTTTACTGTGGCGACTGCGATCCAACGTATTATTAGTTAGAGAACGATGTCTGCCGTGTTTAGACAACGGCCCGTTGTGGGAATATTTGAACTGCTCGGGTTCTAACCTTCCTATACTGTTGTAAAGTCACTGCCTACTTCCTGCCATTTTTCCCATAAGAACGGCAATTGTCTTGCTCGACTTCCATTAACCAACTTTATTGAAAGTAAACAATTGGAATTCATTATAAACTACTGCGTCAACTTTCCTCTTTGTACCTGCCTCTAATAATTGTTCTTTCTTTTTGTAAAGTTTAAATTCTCTCCTGCCTTTTCACTTTACGAATGTGACATAAATTTGGTAAGGATAATAATAATAATTATGAGATGGTTTTATAAAAATTTAGGTCTGTTAATGCCAGACCATCAATTTATCTAGAGAAATGTATGTAGAATTTATCATATTGTGTAATTTATCTATAGAACAGGAAGGATATGTAGACAGATTTGGCCTCAGAACACCCAATAAGGGATGTTCTGAGGCCAAATCTGTCTACATATCCTTCTAGGGAGTGTTTTTAAAGCCAAATCTATGTCTAAATACTCTTCTAGGGGAGCTTTTCGAAGCCATCATAGTGTTTTTTTCATCACAATACGCTTTGTTTACAGGAGAAATCGATTTAATTTTACAATGATCATTGTAAATCTTCTCCGTTTCCATCAACATTGCACTTTTTCTTTATGAGAAGGAATTTTAAATGCACTCGAACGTAAATCGAGCAGATGTGAAATTCCTTCTCGAGGTGGTTAATTAATTAAACTTATAAAACACAAATGTGTTTAGTTTGTAAATGGCATAAGGAGAATACTAGAAGCGTAAATCTGGTAGAAACTTAGGAAGGGAAGGAAATGTTTCAGATAAAGATAACAGTAATCTAATGTTTTTCTTCAGATACTCGACAAACTCCAAAGACATTACTGTCTAGGAAATCAGACGGCAAAACAAAGCCTTTCTGTCCTGTTCCCTCATTCGTTAGAGCTTTGGCGAATCGCCTCATCAGTTACCGGGATATTGGACAGGTCTGTAGAGAGAGAGGAAGATAAGAAAACTCCCTCACAATTGACAACTTTGTCTCGCAGCCAATTGACTGCACTCTCTGCTGATGGCGACAGTGTGCTTCAAGATTTATGACGAACCCTGGCTAAATGAGACGTAAAGACTACATCACCGCAAACTAACCGAGAAAGCGGTAACATCTTCCGGCTCTCCACCGTAGCTCCTTCCAATCCGAACTTAAATACTAATCCTTCGGCATCCTCCTTAACTTCTACGCATACCGTTAAACACCCGAAAACCAGTCGGAAGGGATAAAAAGAACTATTTAATCGCTTTACCGGTTCTTTACTTGAACAGGAGCGTTGGCAGATGTTGTAACCAATAAGGCTAACGTTTCCCTGCGGGATCAGATTGTGGGTTACTTGTGCACACACGCGCATCGACATACACACAAATACGGAGTCGGACAATCTGGCAAACTCGGCCAACAAATGACTATTCGGTTACCACGTCGTATTACCGGAAATGCGGTTACGGATTTG